GAACAGGCCCCCATTAACATTGACGGGGCTGTAGTGGAGCGGGTCGAGAATTTTAAGTTCCTTGGTGTCCATATCACCAACAAACTATCACGGTCCAAACACACCAAGACAGTCGTGAAGAGGGCACGACAACACCTTTTCCCCCTCAGGAGACTGAAAATATTTGGCATGGGTCCCCAGATCCTCAAAAAGTTATACTGCTGCACCATCGAGAGCATCCTGACCGATTGCATCACTGCCTGGTATGGCAACTGCTCGGCATCTGACCGTAAGGTGCTACAGAGGGTAGTGCGTACAGCCCAGTACATCACTGGGGCCAAGCTTCCTGCCAGGACCTCTATACCAGGCGGTGTCAGAGGAAGGCCCTCCAAATTGTCAAAGACTCCAGCCACCCTAGTCATAGACTGTTTGCTCTGCTACCGCACGGCAAGCGGTACCGGAGTGCCAAGTCTAGGTCCAAAATACTTCTCAACAGCTTCTACCCTCAGGCCATAAGACTTCTGAACAGCTAATCATGGCTACCCAGACTATTTGCACTGCCCCCACCCCCACCACATCTTTTTACGCTGCTGCTACTCTGTTCATTATTTATGCATAGCCACTTTAACTCTACCCACATGTACATATTACTTCAACTACCTCAACTAGCCGGTGCCCCTGCACATTGACTCCCCTGTATATATAGCCTCCCTACTGTTATTTTATTTTACTTCTGCTCTTTTTTTCTCAACACTTGTTTGTTGTTTTATTTTACTTTTTTTATCAAAAAAATAGATGCACTGTTGGTTAAGGGCTGTAAGTAAGTCATTTCACTGTAATGTCTGCACCTGTTGTATTCGGCGCATGTGGCCAATAAAATTTGATTTGATTTGAGAGGCTTTGAAGCCACCGGTCGGCCATATTGGTACTTCCCAGTAGGAGCAGTCCTCCATAGGAATGAATGGAATTCTACAGTATTTCAATTAAACGTTTCAAGGTCAAAATGACATGTATTTAAGTCATTTTGTAACATTAGTAATCAAAAAATATATATATTTTAAGGAAAATGTTTTAATATATTTTTTCATTTTTTATTTGTATGTTTAGCTCACATAATATAATGTAAAAGTATGTATTAAGGTGTCTGTAATATAATACATGCGGCTTAATGTAGACATGAATAAATGCATTTCTATAGCTTCCAAAAAATGTTTTACCAGGTGAGGGAGGAGGCACGGTGGCTTCGACACAGCGGCCCTTATAAATTATCTAGTGTATATACAGTTGAAGTCGGAAGTTTACATACACTTAGGTTGGAGTCATTACAACTCGTTTTTCAACCACTCCACAAATGTATTGTTAACAAACTATAGTTTTGGCAAGTCGGTTAGGACATCTACTTTGTGCATGACACAAGTTATTTTTCCAACAATTGTTTACAGACAGATTATTTCACTTATAATTCACTGTATCACAATTCCAGTGGGTCAGAAGTTTACATACACTTAGTTGACTGTGCCTTTAAACAGCTTGGAAAATTCCAGAAAATGATGTCATGGCCTTATAAGCTTCTGATAGGCTAATTTACATCATTTGAGTCAATTGGAGGTGTACCTGTGGATGTATTTCAAGGCCTACCTTCAAACTCAGTGCCTCTTTGCTTGACATCTTGGGACAATCAAAAGTAATCAGCCAAGACCTCATAAGAAAAATTTAAGACCTCCACAAGTCTGCTTCATCCTTGGGAGCAATTTCCAAACGCCTGAAGGTACCATGTTCATCTGTACAAACAATACTATGCAAGTATAAACACCATGGGACCACGCAGCCGTCATACTGCTCAGGAAGGAGACGTGTTCTGTCTCCTAGAGATTAACGTACTTTGGTGCGAAAAGTGCAAATCAATCCCAGAACAACAGCAAAGGACCTTGTGAAGATGCTGGAGGAAACAGGTACAAAAGTATCTATATCCACAGTAAAACGAGACCTATATCGACATAACCTGAAAGGCCGCTCAGCAAGGAAGAAGCCACTGCTCCAAAACCGCCATAAAAAAGCCAGACTACGGTTTGCAACTGCACATGGGGACAAAGATCGTACTTTTTGGAGAAATGTCCTCTGGTCTGATGAAACAAAAATAGAACTGTTTGGCCATAATGACCATCGTTATGTTCGGAGGAAAAAGGGGGTTGCTTACAAGCCGAAGAACACCATCCCAACCGTGAAGCACGGGGGTGGCAGCATCATGCTGTGGGGGTGTTTTGCTGTAGGAGGGATTGGTGCACTTCACAAAATAGATGGCATCATGAGGAAGGAAAATTATGTGGATATATTGAAGCAACATCTCATTTTTTATTTTATTTATTTTTTATTTCACCTTTATTTAACCAGGTAAACCAGTTGAGAACAAGTTCTCATTTACAACTGCGACCTGGCCAAGATAAAGCAAAGCAGTGCGATAAAAACAACAACACGGAGTTACATATGGGGTAAAACAAAACAAAGTCAAAAATACAACAGAAATACATATAATATACAGTGTGCAAATTTAGCAAGTTATGGAGGTAAGGCAATAAAATAGGCTATAGTGCAAAATAATTACAATTAGTATTAACACTGGAATGATAGATGTGCAAGAGATGATGTGCAAATAGAGATACTGGGGTACAAATGAGCAAAATAAATAACAATATAGGGATGAGGTAGTTGGGCGGGCTAATTTCAGATGGGCTGTGTACAGGTGCAGTGATCGGTAAGGTGCTCTGACAACTGATGCTTAAAGTTAGTGAGAAGTTAAAGCTTGGTCGCAAATGGGTCTTCCAAATGGACAATGACCCCTAGCATACTTCCAAAGTTGTGGCAAAATGGCTTAAGGACAACAAAGTCAAGGTATTGGAGTGGCCATCACAAAGCCCTGACCTCAATCCTATAGAAAATGTGTGGGCAGAACTGAAAAAGCGTGTGCGAGCAAGGAGGCCTACAAACCTGACTCAGTTACACCAGCTCTGTCAGGAAGAATGGGCCAAAATTCACCCAACTTATTGTGGGAAGCTTGTGGAAGGCTACCCAAAACATTTGACCCAAGTTAAACAATTTAAAGGCAATGCTACCAAATACTAATTGAGTGTATGTAAACTTCTGACCCACTAGGAATGTGATGAAAGAAATAAAAGCTGAAATAAATAATTCTCTCTACTATTCTTCTGACATTTCACATTCTTAAAATAAAGTGGTGATCCTAACTGACCTAAGACAGGGAATTTTTACTAGGATTAAATGTCAGGAATTGTGAAAAACTGAGTTTAAATGTATTTTGCTAAGGTGTATGTAAACTTCCGACTTCATCTGTATACATCATTTGTTGACATGGAATTGACAACTGCAGTTGTAGACTGGAACATTGCAATGAAAGGCAAAGCAGGAAAAGGGCTACAATTCAATATCATTTATCACTAAACTTTATGAAACCAAAAATTGCAATTCAATAATAAGCCATTTAGCAGACGCTTTTATCCAAAGCGACTTACAGTCATGTGTGCATACATTTTTACGTATGGGTGGTCCCGGGATCGAACCCACTACCCTGGCGTTACAAGTGCCATGCTCTACCAATTGAGCTACAGAGGACCACCAACATTGTTTGGGCATTGCCATTTTAAACATAATTTTCACATTACTTGTGTTCCATTTTAGACAGTGATCAGTGTTTTGAATTAATTTAGTAGTAATTGACACACACACACACACACAACACAAACAGGTATACAGTTAGGCCTATAAGTATTAGCTAGTCTAACAATTATAATAATAATGTAAACCTTCACTGTAACTACCTGCCTACGTGCCTATGTAGGCCTAACTATTGTATTTACAATCCATATAATATCTCCGGTCTGGACTTCAGGGGACTGGTTTATGTTTAGGTGTTTACAATACGTTTTTCTCAGTGTTAGTCAATGGCAGCCTAAAGACTCCCACCGATGATTATTCACTCCCAATGATTTGTTCACTCCCCTACCGTCGGGTAGACGGTATAGGAGCATGAGGTCTGATACCAACAGGCTCAGAGACTGTTTCTATCTACAAGCCATAAGACAGCTGAACACATGAACTGGACTGACCACCTGCTCTGATTCTCCGCACCTTAGCACACATGCACTCACTCACACACACACCCACACAGACATTCAGTACACACATCCATCCATACACACACACACACATCATAACTGCTACTACCAGACTCTTATTATAATAGCTAACGTTAAATACTGCACAATTTAAACATGGCCCCCAATCCCCCCTTCTCCAAAACAAGTGTAAATATTGGACTATAAATTGTGCCTTCCTGTATTATACTTATGCTAAAATATGTATTATATTCTACTGAGCCATTTACTTTATGTTTGTATTCTTATCTTATATTATTCTTATTGTTGCATTGTCAAGAAGGAACCTGCAAGTAAGCACTTCGTTGGATGGTGTATACCATGTGTGTCCTGTACTTAAGTCTAATAAAACTTGAAACTTATGTGAAAGTTAGGAGAAAAAATGATGATGGCAATGGGGATTGCTGTGAAAACTGCTGGTAGATACAATTTAATTATTGCAGACCTCTCTCTGCCTGCTCCACTGAAAGGCAAAATTAGTTCCGGTCAGTATAATGTTGTTAAAGACATAGTTATAGTTTTAAATATGTAGCCCATCGCACTTTCAAATGAAGTGTATTGTGTATTATTCTGTGCTTTTATGTTTTATGTAGCTGTTTTATAAAGCACAAGACCAAATAAATGTCCCCCTGGTGGGATAACTAAAATGATCGAATAATCTAGACTAAACTAGGGCACAATGCAATGCTGTAAAACAGACCGTAATATGCCACGATTATGAAAATACAATGCAATGTTTTTTTCTCTCAGCTTTGCACACTAAGGACATCAGTGACCCCGACTTGGAATGCCACCTATTGACCAGCAGTGGTACGCCTCGTCGACATTGCCAAAACGTCTTGTAGAGTCAGCACTTCTGACCCATATAAATCCCCGCCGCCGCAAAATCTCACTTTCCTCTGCCACGACGTGGAAACAGCAACCGTCTATCCCCCAGCGATTAGAGAATAACTATCACCAAAATGACCACGGCACAACCCATATTTTCCAAGGGAGAAGACTGCAAAGCTGGTTGGCACGACGCTAGTGCTGGTTACAATGAGACCGACACTCATCTAGAGATTTTGGGCAAGCCTGTTATGGAACGTTGGGAGACCCCGTACATGCACTCGCTGGCAACTGTAGCCTCCTCAAAAGGTACAACGCACAATGTGCAAGCTGGTGGTTCCCATGAACGCACTGGGACCACTAGATAGTAATCAATTTCGTTACTCTTTGATAATTTATAGTTCTATAATAACCTTTTACATTATTGTAATTATTTTTTCTTACAAATGTGTGAAATAAATAAATAATAAATAAAGGACAGCCCATTTGCCTATAGCCTAATCATAGGCTAGGCCTACACTTAATTCAGAGCTGTAATATAGTCAAAACAGATTATCAATAAATCAGCAATTAGGCTATTGAAAAAAGTTTATGAAACAAATGCATTGCTTTTTATATGATTTCTGAGTTGTTTCACCCAATGCACGTGCTAGTGGAGTTTAAAAGCATGGTTGCAGCAGGTGTTACTCTACCCATGGAACCGTGCCAAGTGAACCGTGCCAATAATTTATGACGACATGCCATTCAATACGTTTTATAACTACAACTGTTGATCACTGATTTGACTTTTTATTGCTGACAATACGTGCACAGATCTCGAACTTTCATGTTTAGAATTCAACGTTTTGCACGTAAAAGTTGCGTTAAATTTTGGAGTTGTTTGCGCATTCATGTCACCATAGCGCACATGTTTCTGCATGTAGTAGGAATGCAGTCCATCGAGTTTTAGTAAAAATTGTATTGTACTTTCTTCATATTGCTTTATATTGGAAAATACTATTATTTGGTGGCAATTTGACAACAAAGTAGTAGCAGAGTATAAACCTGATAAGAGTATAGGCCAATGCAAAACCAAATCGTATTTTTCTATAATCTATTTTTACACTTCACTGAAAGACTACTCTGTGGAAATCCTTGAAGTGGCCTTTCTATCACGTGCCACCACCTCCTGCTTTCCCCCAAACATTCCTTACATGTCTATACTGTGGTTCTCAGAGGGGTCTCTCAAATAAACAAAAATAGTTTGCTTTTCATGAAAGGTGCCACAGCATTGGAAATACTTCAATACAGGTTAGACCTGGATTCAAATACCATTTCAGTATTTCAATTACATTTCAAAGCAAGTAGTCAGGTAACCTTTTTTGGAAAAAGTAAGTAGTTGAATATTGGAATGTAGTTGGAAATGCACTTGGAAAGTATTTGAAAATACTCAAATACACTGAATCAAATACACTACATTTTTACATTTACGTCATTTAGCAGACGCTCTTATCCAGAGCGACTTACAAATTGGTAAGCATTTAACCAAGGAATTTGAAATAAGTATTAGAAATAAGTATTTGAAAATACTTTCAAATACAAATTTGGTCGACTATTTTTTTTTTTTTTTTACAAATAACCATTCAAATAAAAGTACTTGTTTTGGGCTATGTGTTTTAAAATACTCAAATACAAAGAACAAATATTTAAATAACAAATACTCAAATACACGTATTTGAAACCAAGTCTTGATACAGGTAGATTCATAAACTTAAACACCAATTGAGATGCTTGTTCTGCTTTGTCCCACAGGTGGACGGGTTCTGGAGATTGGATTTGGCATGGCCATCGCCGCAACTAAAGTTGAGTCCTTCCCCATCGAGGAGCACTGGATCATTGAGTGCAATGATGGAGTGTTTGCGAGATTGCAGGAGTGGGCCAAGGCTCAGCCACATAAAGTGAGACATCTTCAACTTCACATTAGGTTCTATTTACACTTTTCCCCTCATTTAATGTGAATAAAATGTACCTAAATTATTCTCCACTCATAGATTGTGCCCCTCAAAGGACTGTGGGAACAGGTAGTGGGTGGCCTGCCTGACAACCACTTTGATGGTAAGTTTCAAAATACATTCTATTGGTGTATCCATTGTATCTTTGTATTCTTCAGCAAGTAAATTGCTTCAGACACATAACTATGTAATTCTAATAATGCCTCTTCTATCAAAGGCATTCTGTACGACACATACCCTCTGTCAGAAGACACATGGCACACTCACCAGTTTGACTTCATCAAGGTAAGTACAACACTTCTATGACAAAGACCGCACATTACGAATATATTAGCAAAAGCACCAGAACCAACAGCGGAATGGAGATTTCTCCTGTATTAAAGACTATAAAACACACAAATGTTTGGTATTATATATGATATCGTAGCTGTATCCAACGCAAACATATGGCAGATGTCTAAGGTGACAGGTAGCTTAGTGTTGGGCTAGTAACCGAAAGGTTGCTAGTTCGAATCCCAGAGCCGTCAAGGTGAAAATAAACTGTTGATGTGCCCTTGAGCAAGGCCCTTAACCCTAATTGCTCCAGTCGCCATTGCCCACTCTTCGAGGGGGAGTTGGGATATGCAAAAAGCACATTTCCAATTCACATATGTGTATTAATACACACTTGTACATGTGAAATAGAACAAATATAAGCACCCACCAAATTAATGAATTAATAAACAAATTAATCAAAATGGAATGAGATATTTCTTAATGGAATCTGATTCCTATCACTTGTTACAAACATTGCCTATTGTGCCACAATGACGTTTCCATTATAATACAATTGTTGAATTGTGTCTCTATAGGGCCATGCCCATAGGCTGCTGAAGTCCGGTGGTGTCCTCACCTACTGCAACCTGACCTCTTGGGGTGAACTTCTCAAGTCCAAATATGACAACATTGACAAGATGTTCCAGGTGAGCCGGCTCTCAGCCAGTCAATGATCAACAACACCTAATCTCTCTGTGAGGTGCTTGGGTACACATGTGCCCTCTCGGGCAGGGGGCAGGACACATTTAATTTCTTTGCACGTATTCTGTCCTTATCTCAGATAGTACTGCACTTCCAGTACAAGTCTGGTACAGTGTAATTGCTTATGTGACGTTATACCGCTGATCATTACTGTGGTATAACGTAATTTAAAGTGTGGCCCTGAATTTTGTTTGGTCTGATGTTCATTATTAACCAATTTTTTTCATTCATGTGCAGTTACTATGTGTGTGTTGTATTCTGCTCATTTGGTCTGTCCGTAGCTACAGTTCTAACATTTTTTATTTTATTTTTGCAACCAAATCTAAATGTTTTATGTAAATAGCATGTTTTAGACGAGCCCAGACACTTCTTCATCCTCGTTATGCAGTACCGGGCCGCTGAAAATTATTAATTAACAAAGGCACCAAAAACACCCAAATACGTCCTTTTAGAAACGGAAAAGCGATAAGTATAATGATGCTGGTCTTCAGATGTTGTACACGTGAAATTGTGTCATTCCGAATTTTATCCGCAACGTTATATTCCATTTTGTTGCGACTCGAGCGATACCTCTCCGTCCATTCTAGCAGCAGGCTACATGGAGAATAGAACAGCTGGATAGGGGAAACAGTTTGAGTCGCACAAAATGGAGTATAACGTTGCGGATAAAGTTTGGAATGACACAAGTTAATGTGTACATCTGAAGACATGCATCATTATACTGAGAGATTTTCAGTTTCTAGAAGGACGTATTTGGGTGTTTTTGGAGCCTTTGTTCATGTTTTTTCATAGCCCCGGTACTGCACAACGAGGATGAGGAAGTGACTCGCTGGTTGGGGTAATTTTCTCAAAAACAAGTGAAATCGCAAATAAAAAAAGTATCTGGACCGTTCTATAACATGCCATATACATAAAAAATAGAGATTTGATTGTAAAATGCAAATTTCTCCTATGATGATTTTTCAGGAGACCCAGATGCCTCACCTGCTCGAGGCTGGCTTCAATAGGGAGAAGATTAGCACCACAACCATGGATATTGTTCCCCCAAGCGAATGCAAATACTATGCATTCCGCAAGATGATTACGCCCACCATTCTGAAAGAGTGAAGTGGCTTGATGCCACTGCAACGTTTTAATTTATTTAATTCTCAAGTGCCTGTATTTTAAAAAGCCACATTGGTTTACTGTCAAAAATCCATAAGCACTCAGCGATGTCCATCTTACAATAAACCAATTTAAATAACATGTCCACTCTATTTTATTCTGTGAAAATTAATTTGTTTGGGTATCACCTCAAACAATTTTGCACCTCTTGCAATTCGTTACAGAATAGAATGCATTACATTTGAACTTCATTGCAATGTTAATAAGCAGTATATTTTACATAATACTAAGGCTGCATTTACACAGGCAGCCCAATTCTGATCTTATATCCAATTTAATTATTGGTCTTTTGACCAATCAGATCCGATCTTTTGCCAATAATTGGGCAACATATGAGAATTGGGCTGCCTGTGGAAACGTTTTCGATTGGCCAGTTGACTGAATGTGAATCCAAATTGCATTAACATATTTCACTCTTCTGAATAGATAACAATTATTTCCTGAGGGTTTGGAAAAAGCTGCAGAATAAGTCAAAAACGTGATTTTCCTGTTGTTTTTAATGATATTTCCACCCTATGAGCTTGAAATAACACTATGAAATTGTGAAAATGATGACAATGCCCTTTTAGTGTAAGAGCTTTTTGAAAAACGCCTGGAATTTCAGCCTGTTCACCTGGGATGGAGTTTTTGGCCCACAGCATATCATAATCTGATTTGATTATTTTGACCAATGACCAGTCATCTTTTATTTGCATATGTATCCTCCTACTTTGGGAAGTAAGTGGTTAGGCTCTAGAGCAGGGGTATTGAACTCTTACCCTACAAGGACCGGAGCCTGATGGTTTTCTGTTCTACCTGATCATTAATTACACCCACCTGGGCCCAGATTCACAAAATGTTCTTAAGACATTTCTTCTTAACTGCCATTTTTTTCTGAACTATAGACTTATGAAGAAAGTTAAGCAAAGTTGCTATTCCTCAAAAAGGATATTGAAAAATGTCTTGCGCTATTTCTTATGTTTATCCTTAAGCAAAAAGTTAAGAATAATTTGATTCCTGAAAATAAAGTTATTGGAAATGTTCTTAATTCCAAGATAGCTAAACCCTTGTCTTAAACTCAGGGCAGTGAGAGAATAAACTCATGAAAGCAATTGAACATGTTTAATTCACTCAAACTTCATCTGAAAGTTTCAGTATTTATTATTTTAAACCTAAGAACATGTTTTAGAACAGTAATCTCAGTACAAAATATGCTACCATGATTGCCATTGCTAGCTAGATAGTTAGCTAAATCGGTTGCCTAGCAACAAACATCTTAAGAAGATTAGTAGGACGCTATTTGAGACGTTCGTAAGAAAATCATTCAATCTTAAGATATTATTGAGGAATTGCACTTACTAACTTCTTATTTTTTTCCTTAAGAAGCTTCTTAAGTTTTTGTGTAAGAAGTGTTTTGTGAATTTGGGCCCAGGTGTCCAAGGTCTAACTCAGTCCTTGATTAGAGGGGAACAATGAAAAAATGCAGTGGAACTGAAGTCCAGAGTTGAGTTTAAGGGCTCTAGAGTCTAGACGATCCTATCTGCCAATCAGGGCTGTGTATGTAAATATATTTAAATTTGTATCAACGCCCCACGATCAGACTGAGCATTTCAATGGCAAAAGGAGTCTCAGCGAAATAAATGATTTTCATTAAAAAAAACAAAGTGACTTGATTTAAAAAAGTTACTATCTGGTTAGAACTTGTTAATCATTAAGTTGTCGTAGCACATTGCCGGTCTCATTGCAGCTGGTAGATAAGTGTTATTCATAACTTACCCCAAACCATGAAGTTTTTTTTAGTAGAAAATTGAGAACAGTAGGTCCATTGGATATTGGCCAACCTTCATAGCAGATCTCGCACAAGAATTTAACTCAATCCATACACATTTACTATTGGGCCACAAATCCTTAAACCTGGTGAGATTAGTTACTGAAAATATATAATTGTAATTATGATGCATGCTACATTTATTGCAGAATTAGTTCGAGGGCAATTGAAAAAATAAATAAATGTTAATGTAGATTGGATGTAATTTATAGTGCCAAATCACTCAAAGGGAGCGTCTTTGTGCAAATAAAAATGTTAAACGGTTTACACCTATCAACTTTCCTATAAAATATGAACAGCTACACCCTGCTTCCTGATAGGCTAGGTGGACTAGTACCCCTATTGCTACCTTCCAATCGTCTAAGACGTACACAAGTGCATTCAGGGTCGGGGTCAATTTGGGATTGGGTATTGGTGAGTAGAACCAAAGACTGGCCCTGTGACAATACTCGTATAATATAATAATATAATATGCCATTTAGCAGACGCTTTTATCCAAAGCGACTTACAGTCGTGCGTGCATACATTTTTGTGTATGGGTGGTCCCGGGGATCGAACCCACTACCTTGGCGTTACAAGCGCCGTGCTCTACCAGCTGAGCTACCATCCTCATTTACTTGAAGTAAACACTGATCTGACATGACATAAATTGGTCAAAGCAATGCAAAGGAAAGCATGCTTAAACCAACTCAATATGTCAGGTCAGTGATTACTTCAAGGAAGAAAGGAAGCATTTAGGAGTATTCGAACAGGGACTCTACTCTCTTTGGTAGACCCAGAGATAATAGAAGTAAATGTCTAAACTTTTTTTGGGTGCCAAGTGCACCATCTACTGGCTCAGAATACACACACAAGTAGAAATAGTCTTCAAACAAAGAAGTACACCTACATACACTACAATTACTAATGGACCTCTAAAGAAACCTGAGGTTACTTTCATCTAAATAGTAATGACCATAACAATCATGGTTAAAATTGATAAATGTTATCAAATCCCTGCCAGTATCATAATCTGTGCAAGGCCAAGAACAGTGATACGAATGACAAGAAATTCCTTTATTGTTTCTACAGAGAGGAGCCAGACCTCAACCCAGAGTGACTCCTGAGGATATTGCCAACCGGTTTACTGGCTGGCCAGACCACCCATAAATACAACATTTACAAACAGCCAGAGGCGTACATAATTTCACTTGCGATACCAAATCCTCATTTTCTTCTCTCTCTTTATTTTCTTTTGCAACTGTAGCGTCCCGTAGAGAAGGGCCTCTGCTGTGGGTGGGCAGCCTATGGGAGGACAAGTATACAACCACTGAGTCAAATGTTTTCTATAAAAAGGTCAATAAGATGATCTTCACAGAGTTTTAAAATCACCATTGGCCTCATGGTGAAATCCCTGAGAGGTTTCCTTCCTCTCCGGCAACTGACTTAGGAAGGGCGCCAGTATCTTTGTAGTGACACTATCCAAATTGCAACTGATAACTGCACCATGATCAAAGAGATATTCAATGTCTGCTTTTTTTTTTATATACCCATCTACCAATTGGAGGCCCATTTTTCCGAACCATTGGAAAACCTCACTGGTCTTTGTGGTTGAATCTGTGTTTGAAATTCACTGCTAGACTGAGGGACCTAACAGATAATTGTATGTGTGGGGTACAGAGATGGGGTAGTCATTTTAAAATACACTGCTCAAAAAAATAAAGGGAACACTTAAACAACACATCCTAGATCTGAATGAATTAAATAATCTTATTAAATACTTTTTTCTTTATCAATGGAAATCAAATGTATCAACCCATGGAGGTCTGAATTTGGAGTCACCCTCAAAATTAAAGTGGAAAACCACACTACAGGCTGATCCAACTTTGATGTAATGTCCTTAAAACAAGTCAAAATGAGGCTCAGTAGTGTGTGTGGCTTCCACGTGCCTGTATGACCTCCCTACAATGCCTGGGCATGCTCCTGATGAGGTGGCGGATGGTCTCCTGAGGGATCTCCTCCCAGACCTGGACTAAAGCATCCGCCAACTCCTGGATAGTCTGTGGCGCAACGTGGCGTTGGTGGATGGAGCGAGACATGATGTCCCAGATGTGCTCAATTGGATTCAGGTCTGGGGAACGGGCGGGCCAGTCCATAGCATCAATGCCTTCCTCTTGCAGGAACTGCTGACACACTCCAGCCACATGAGGTCTAGCAATGTCTTGCATTAGGAGGAACCCAGGGCCAACCGCACCAGCATATGGTCTCACAAGGGGTCTGAGGATCTCATCTCGGTACCTAATGGCAGTCAGGCTACCTCTGGCGAGCACATGGAGGGCTGTGCGGCCCCCCAAAGAAATGCCACCCCACACCATGACTGACCCACCGCCAAACCGGTCATGCTGGAGGATGTTGCAGGCAGCAGAACGTTCTCCACGGCGTCTCCAGACTCTGTCACATGTGCTCAGTGTGAACCTGCTTTCATCTGTGAAGAACACAGGGCGCCAGTGGCGAATTTGCCAATCTTGGTGTTCTCTGGCAAATGCCAAACGTCCTGCACGGTGTTGGGCTGTAAGCACAACCCCCACCTGTGGAGGTCGGGCCCTCATACCACCCTCATGGAGTCTGTTTCTGACCGTTTGAGCAGACACATGCACATTTGTGGCCTGCTGGAGGTCATTTTGCAGGGCTCTGGCAGTGCTCCTCCTGCTCCTCCTTGCACAAAGGCGGAGGTAGCGGTCCTGCTGCTGGGTTGTTGCCCTCCTACGGCCTCCTCCACGTCTCCTGATGTACTGGCCTGTCTCCTGGTAGCGCCTCCATGCTCTGGACACTACGCTGACAGACACAGCAAACCTTCTTGCCACAGCTCACATTGATGTGCCATCCTGGATGAGCTGCACTACCTGAGCCACTTGTGTGGGTTGTAGACTCCGTCTCATGCTACCACTAGAGTGAAAGCACCGCCAGCATTCAAAAGTGACCAAAACATCAGCCAGGAAGCATTGGAACTGAGAAGTGGTCTGTGGTCACCACCTGCAGAACCACTTCTTTATTGGGGGTGTCTTGCTAATTGCCTATAATTCCCACCTGTTGTCTATTCCATTTGCACAACAGCATGTGAAATGTATTGTCAATCAGTGTTGCTTCCTAAGTGGACAGTTTGATTTCACATATGTGTGATTGACTTGGAGTTACATTGTGTTGTTTAAGTGTTCCCTTTATTTTTTTGAGCAGTGTATGTTAAACACATTGCACACAGAGTGAGTCCATGCAACTTATTCTGTGACTTGTTAAGCACATTTTTACTCCTTAAATTATTTAGGCTTGTCAAAACAAAAGGGTTGAATACTTATTGACTAAAGACATTTAAGCTTTTCATTTTTAATTAATTTGTAAACATTTCTAAAAACATAATTCCACTGACATTACAGGGTATTTATTATGTGTAGATCCGTGACAAAATCTCAATTTAATCCATTTTAAATTCTGCCTGTAACAACAAGTCAAGGAGTGTGAATACTTTCTGAAGGCAGAAATAATTATTTGTTTTATAAGAGTAAAAAAAAAAAAAAAAAAAAAATATTATATATATATATATATATATATATACACACACACACACATAACAGAATGATACATACCTGGAACGTATATGTCCACTGGTACAATGCGGTCACACCCTCTGACCACGGCATAAGAGTAGTGGTAGTACCCACCCCCATTGGCGCAGCTTAAGGACAGAGTAATAAGATACATTGTGGCTCAACTAACAGCTGAATATGAAATGCAAGACGAAAAATGTCAACCGACACTGTAAAAGCACTGTGTGTGTAATGCTAAAACAGTGTGGGGTATTAAATCACAATTGGTTGGCAGTGTAGAGGCAGTAATCTTTACATTAAACAATCAGGCGTTCTTAAATGAAAAAGTTACAAGGACATCATGACATCCATTTCAAACTAGACAACCACTAACATTTTTCTGCTTGAACCTAATATTAGGACAATACTTTACCTGCCCATGGAAATGACGTATCTTGGCTCAGGCATCTGATCATAAACCTATAGGGAAATAATGAGCATCATGTTGAATTCATACAGTCTATAAAAGACTAACCCGATTTCAAGCAAATGCAGAACTCCTTTCTCCAAAGAAACATGTCCTTCTGTCAAATACCTTGCGCAGAGCGGGGGCCATCTTGTTGGTCAAGGTGCCTGCCACAATCATGACGTCGGCCTGTCTGGGGCTGGCTCTGAACACCACTCCGAACCGGTCCATGTCGTAGCGAGGAGCCGCCATGTGCATCATCTCCACCGCACAGCACGCCAGGCCAAAGGTCATGGGCCACAGGGAGCTCTAATGTAGAAATACACAAAGACAGATTAGATCAACAAAAAAAACTGAACAAAGATAATTCAGTCAGTCAATATGTTTTCCCCTTATCTCTTCCTAACAATCCTCAATTCACCTCAATTCATCTTGAGAAAGGTGAAAAGGAAAGGAGGTCAAGGAATACGGTTTAGAGGAATGACAGTAGTATTATTTGTGGAGGCATTGGCTGGATTTTTTTTCAGATTAAAGGAGTCAGAGCAAACTTCTTAATACTCCCCCAGCAAAGGAGACACAATATGGAAAAAGTGAGACCAGACTATGCTTCCCTCTGTAGTTAGTATAATCATTTTGACAGTTCTTTGACTGACAGCCAGTTGGCCACATACTGCATGTATAGTAGATTACAAAGAGAAGTAAAGGAGGATGGGGAGAGTGTTCTTTTGGATTTTCATAAAAGACCAAATTGACACTCAAAACATTTTAAAATGTACCATATGCCACTGCAAAACAGAGATATTGTGTGGCATTGAATCTGAGCCCTGACTTACTCTGCGTGCCCAGTTCACCAGATCATCCAGTTTAGTGATGACATATTCTCCCTTGCTGCTTGCTACTGCAGCTGGCTTGGCAGCAGCCACTGCTGTGCTTTTCTCTCTGACTGGAACCACACTGGAGGAAAAAACGATATTAAGTACTCTAGCAAATCTTCTTTACAGTTGTTGATATTGACAAATTCAGATGTTCACTGGATTTCTCTTACCTTGTTGCATTGTTGCTTTTAGCAATGTGGTATAGCGACCTCTGTTGTAACGCAAATACTGAAACGGGTCTGTGTGGTAAAAAATACCAATATTGGATTGGCACTGACAACTGCTGATGTAAAAGGGGTTTATAAAATAAAGTTGATTGATTGACTGACTGACAGGCCATCAACACAAGCAACATGGCATTGCACTACACAGAAATAACACAATACTCTAAACTATGATAAACGGGGAAAACATATTTAATTTAGACTACTGGTGATTCCAAAACAGAATGAACCTCAATGTTGCGAACTATAGTAACTGCCAGACGTGTCTTGGACAAATTACGCAATTGATAAGGTGATTAATTAAACCAGACTGCCAGAGACAGCAGATAAACGTTCCTAAATAATATCAGATTAAACTTTAAAGTATCCTTACCTTGATGAACAGTTACGAAACGCGGCGAGGCGAGGAACTGCAACGAACAGACAAAAAAAGCATAGTAAGATGTCAACAAATACAACTAAATCATTACACCACACCAAACTCTCTATTAAACGTATATTAAGCGAACACAATTTACTGGGGGGATACTGCACAGGTCTTCACTAGTTACCACAGCCTAACCCAAAAGCGATTTTATTTTCTTAATGAATTTTTACGATATAGACTATTTTGACATTGTGGCTGTGGTAACTAGTGGAAACCCCACTGACTGGCACAGGTCAATGCTCATTTCTTGAGTAACATAAACGGACGTTTATGATATGGCGAGTATGGCTAGCTAGTTGTAACTTAGCCAAACTGACTTGTATCAAGTCTTTGTTTGTATAAAATATTAACATTTTTTTTGCCATTAGATTTCCATTAACTAAGAGGTTGATCACGCTGCACGTCTGAGTGAGGAATTTAACGTTCCACGCGTGCTAGTTAGCTATTTACAAACAAACATTTTCTCCCTAGCTAGCTAACGTTAGCATAGCTAGTTAGCCTAGCCAGAGTTGTTTCTGTTCAGATTTTTGCCAGGGATAACAGCTACGCTAGCTAGCTATAGCTAGGTAGCAAAGGTCAGTGATTACAACCGATGGTGGAAGCATAAAATGACACAACAAACCAGGTGGCATAGGAAATACTGTAATGTTAGTGGGATAAATAAGTCGGATATTTAGCAGAATGATATGTCGCAGTAACTTGATAGCTTTGCATTTTAGCCAATACATCACTCACTCACCCACCAACGCCGCCATCTTTCGCTAAAAATGAGAAGACTTCCAGTGACCGTGGTTACGTGATAGAACTGTCCATGCTATCTGGGATCCTTGGGACGTCCCTACCCCTTTGAAGTTCACATTTAAAACGGTTAGTGTTAGGTTTTGGTTTGGGACGTCCGAGGGATTCATTAAAATAAATATAGCAGTTCATTATAGGGGCCTACCGGTATATATTTTTTGGTTGACAGGGAGAGAAAAATGTCTAAAGTATGAGTAAAACTTATTGATTTAATTTCTCATTTGCAAGTGGCTCCATGGGGTAAGACGTAGCTCAGAGCAGATCCAGGATCAGTTTAGACAATCCAAATCATAGTCTTGTCAATGCCCATTACACAATGCAAAAGTGACTAAACAATGCACAGCTATTTGCTAGTTATTGTTCATGCTCGTGTAGTAGGCATATTCGAATGTCAAGCTACAACCGTTAGTGATGAAACTGTCAACATCAGTTAAAATCAAGTTGCAGACATGAGAGTACGCAAAATGAAAGGGTTGCTTCTCTATGACCAAAAATGAATCAGCTGAACAGTTAAAAAAGCAGACAGAATTAGTTATATCAGTTGCTTTTTGTGTATGTTGTATGTGTGCACAATTTATGCCGAGGTCATCTACACCAACAGTTGGGCTCAACATTTGAATTGCACTCCTGAACAAATCAACAAGATTGCAAAGAAGCATGGTTTCCATAACTTGGGAAAGGTAAAACAATGTTAGTTCACTGTTTATTTATGTCATATAATGACTTGTATTTTTATATGTAGATCTTTTGGCATATTATGACTCGCTAATTTCTTCTGGCATATTATATTTGTAGATATTTCCAGATGGCAACTATTACCATATGGAGCAAAGACAGGTGGCAAAACAATCATTGCAGGCACACTATTTGCATAATCTTCGACTCAAAATGGACCCTAAGGTGAATAGCCAATAGGTCAATACTATCCAAAGTTGGCGGGTATAACCAGTCCCAGCATTGCTCTTATTGTAATGAGTGTAATTATGTACTTTTCTGTTTCTTAGGTGCTTTGGTTTGCACAGCAATCTGGAAGGAGTAGAAAGAGGAGGCACTCTTTCACAACACCAACTGATCCATTTTTCAATCAGCAGTGGTACCTGGTATATGTCAACATTATGCTTTCATTTTTGTTTGAAGTTTATTTCCATAATGGAAGCTCTTTAGATTTTTGTTCAGCCTGTTTGAGGTTTTTCTGCCATGAGTGAAAACATATGGTTATCCCCGTTTTAAAACTGAAAAAATATTTTGTTCAATCTGCTTTTCCAGAGTGAGGCCTTTGATCAGAATGTGGTGGCTGCATGGGCTCGAGGCTACACAGGAAAAGGAGTGGTGGTGTCCATCTTAGACGATGGCCTAGAGACAAGCCACCCAGACCTTGCTGAAAATTATGTGAGTTATTATTATGATTTTTTAAAACAAATGCGCCCTGTATAATACAATATAAATATTACATTTACATAATTTAGCAGACACTCTTATCTAGAGCGACTTACATATTATATTGGTGCATTCAACTTATGATTTTTTTAAAACTATTTTGAAATTTTTTTTTTTTTTTTGTTCAATTAAAAAATAAATATATATATATATATATTTTTTTTTTGATGGGGGGTGGGGGAAGAACGATTACTTTATACTATTCCAGGTATTCCTTAAAGAGGTAGGGTTTCAAGTGTCTCCGGAAGGTGGTCAGTGACTCCGCTGTCCTGGCGTCGTGGGGGAGCTTGTTCCACCATTGGGGTGCCAGAGCAGTGAATAGCTTTGACTGGGCTGAGCGGGAACTGTGCTTCTGTAGAGGTAGGGGAGCTAGCAGGCCAGAGGTGGATGAACGTAGTGCCCTCGTTTGGGTGTAGGGTCTGATCAGAGCCTGAAGGTAAGGAGGTGCCGTTCCCCTCACAGCTCCGTATGGCAAGCACCATGGTCTTGTAGTAGATGTGAGCCTCAACTGGAAGCCAGTGGAGTGTGTGGAGGAGCGGGGTGACATGAGAGAACTTGGGAAGGTTGAACACCAGATGGGCTGCTGCGTTCTGGATAAGTTTAAGGGGTTTAATGGCACAGGCAGGGAACCCAGCCAACAGCGAGTTGCAGTAATCCAGACGGGAGATGACAAGTGCCTGGATTAGGACCTGTGCCGCTTTCTGTGTAAGGTAGGGTCGTACTCTGCGAATGTTGTAGAGCATGAACCTGCAGGATCGGGTCACCGCTTTGATGTTAGCGGAGAACGACAGAGTGTTGTCCAGGGTCATGCCAAAGTTCTTTGCACTCTGGGAGGAGGACACAATGGAGTTGTCAACCGTGATGGCGAGATCATGGAGCGGGCAGTCCTTCCCCGGGAGGAAGAGCAGCTCCGTCTTGCCGAGGTTCATCTTGAGGTGGTGATCCGACATCCACACTGATATGTCTGCCAGACATGCAGAGATGCGATTCGCCACCTGGTTATCAGAAGGGGGAAATATACACGTTATACTCTATGTATTTTAATATACAGTTGAAGCCTGAAGTTTACATACACTTTAGCCAAATACATCTAAACTCAGTTTTTCACAATTCCTGACATTTAATCCTAGTAAAAATTCCCTGTCTTAAGTCAGTTAGGATCACCACTATATTTTAAGAATGTGAAATGTCAGAATAATAGTAGAGAGAATGATTTATTTCAGCTTTTATTTATTTCATCACATTCCCAGTGGGTCAGAAGTTTACATACACTCAATTAGTATTTGGTAGCATTGCCTTTAAATTGTTTAACTTGGGTCAAACATTTCGGGTAGCCTTCCACAAGCTTCCCACAATAAGTTGGGTGAATTTTGGCCCATTCCTCCTGACAGAGCTGGTGTAACTGAGTCAGGTTTGTAGGCCTCCTTGCTCGCACACGCTTTTTCAGTTCTGCCCACACATTTTCTATAGGATTGAGGTCAGGGCTTTGTGATGGCCACTCCAATACCTTGACTTTGTTGTCCTTAAGCCATTTTCCACAACTTTGGAAGTATGCTTGGGGTCATTGTCCATTTGGAAGACCCATTTGCGACCAAGCTTTAACTTCCTGACTGATGTCTTGAGATGTTGCTTCAATATATCCACATAATTTTCCTTCCTCATGATGCCATCTATTTTGTGAAGTGCACCAGTCCCTCCAGCAGCAAAGCACCCCCATAGCATGATGCTGCCACCCCCGTGCTTCACGGTTGGGATGATGTTCTTCGGCTTGCAAGCAACCCCCTTTTTCCTCCAAACATAACGATGGTCATTATGGCCAAACAGTTATATTTTTGTTTCATCAGACCAGAGGACATTTCTCAAAACCGTAGTCTGGCTTTTTTATGGCGGTTTTGGAGCAGTGGCTTCTTCCTTGCTGAGCGGCCTTTCAGTTTATGTCGATATAGTACTCGTTTTACAGTGGAAATAGATACTTTTGTACCTGTTTCCTCCAGCATCTTCACAAGGTCCTTTGCTGTTGTTCTGGGATTGATTTGCACTTTTCGCACCAAAGTACGTTCTGCTCTAGGAGACAGAACGCGTCTCCTTCCTGAGCGGTATGACGGCTGCGTGGTCCCATGGTGTTTATACTTGCGTACTATTGTTTGCACAGATGAACGTGGTAGCTACAGATGAACCAGACTTGTGGAGGTCTACACATTTTTTTCTGAGGTCTTGGCTGATTTCTTTTGATTTTCCCATGATGTCAAGCAAAGAGGCACCGAGTTTGAAGGTAGGCCTTGAAATACAGTGGGGAAAAAAAGTATTTAGTCAGCCACCAATTGTGCAAGTTCTCCCACTTAAAAAGATGAGAGAGGCCTGTAATTTTCATCATAGGTACACGTCAACTATGACAGACAAAATGAGGAAAAAAAATCAAGAAAATCTCATTGTAGGATTTTTAATGAATTTATTTGCAAATTATGGTGTAAAATAAGTATTTGGTCAATAACAAACGTTTCTCAATACTTTGTTATATACCCTTTGTTGGCAATGACACAGGTCAAACGTTTTCTGTAAGTCTTCACAAGGTTTTCACACACTGTTGCTGCTATTTTGGCCCATTCCTCCATGCAGATCTCCTCTAGAGCAGTGATGTTTTGGGGCCAGATTTTCTATGGGGTTGAGATCAGGAGACTGGCTAGGCCACTCCAGGACCTTGAAATACTTCTTACGAAGCCACTCCTTCGTTGCCCGGGCGGTGTGTTTGGGATCATTGTCATGCTGAAAGACCCAGCCACGTTTCATATTCAATGCCCTTGCTGATGGAAGGAGGTTTTCACTCAAAATCTCATACATGGCCCCATTCATTCTTTCCTTTACACAGATCAGTCGTCCTGGTCCCTTTGCAGAAAAACAGCCCCAAAGCATGATGTTTCCACCCCCATGCTTCACAGTAGGTATGGTGTTCTTTGGATGCAACTCAGCATTCTTTGTCTTCCAAACACGACGAGTTGAGTTTTTACCAAAAAGTTATATTTTGGTTTCATCTGACATTCTCCCAATCCTCTTCTGGATCATCCAAATGCACTCTAGCAAACTTCAGACGGGCCTGGACATGTACTGGCTTAAGCAGGGGGACACGTCTTGCACTGCAGGATTTGAGTCCCTGGCGGCGTAGTGTGTTACTGATGGTAGGCTTTGTTACTTTGGTCCCAGCTCTCTGCAGGTCATTCACTAGGTCCCCCTGTGTGGTTCTGGGATTTTTGCTCACCATTCTTGTGATCATTTTGACCCCACGGGGTGAGATCTTGCGTGGAGCCCCAGATCGAGGGAGATTATCAGTGGTCTTGAATGTCTTCCATTTCCTAATAATTGCTCCCACAGTTGATTTCTTCAAACCAAACTGCTTACCTATTGCAGATTCAGTCTTCCCAGCCTGGTGCAGGTCTACAATTTTGTTTCTGGTGTCCTTTGACAGCTCTTTGGTCTTGGCCATAGTGGAGTTTGGAGTGTGACTGTTTGAGGTTGTGGACGGGTGTCTTTTATACTGATAACAAGTTCAAACAGGTGCCATTAATACAGGTAACGAGTGGAGGACAGAGGAGCCTCTTAAAGAAGAAGTTACAGGTCTGTGAGAGCCAGAAATCTTGCTTGTTTGTAGATGACCAAATACTTATTTTCCACCATAATTTGCAAATAAATTCATTAAAAATCCTTCAATGTGATTTTCTGGAATTTTTTTTCTCATTTTGTCTGTCATAGCTGACGTGTACCTATGATGAAAATTACAGGCCTCTCTCATCTTTTTAAGTGGGAGAACTTGCACAATTGGTGGCTGACTAAATACTTTTTTTCCCCACTGTACATCAACAGGTACACCTCCAATTGACAAATGATATCAATTAGCCTATCAGAAGCTTCTAAAGCCATGACATTTTTTTGAATTTTCCAAGCTGTTTAAAGGCACAGTCAATTTAGTGTATGTACATTTCTGACCCACTACAATTGTGATACAGTGAATTATAAGTGAAATAATCTGTCTGTAAACAATTTTTGGAAAAATTACTTCTGTCATGCACAAAGTAGATGTCCTAACGGACTTGCCAAAACTATAGTTTGTTAACAAGAAATTTGTGGAGTGGTTGAAAAATGAGTTTTAATGACTCCAACCTAAGTGTATGTAAACTTCCGACTTCAATTGTATATACAGTACCAGTCAAAAGTTTGGACACACCTACTCATTCCAGGGTTTTTCTTTATTTTTACTATTATTGTACAATAATAGTGAAGACATCAAAACTATGAAATAACACATATGGAATCATGTAGTAACCAAAAAAGTGTTAAACAAATCAAAATATGTTATTTGAGATTCTTCAAAGGAGCCACCCTTTGCATTGATGACAGCTTTGCACACTCTTGGCATTCTCTCAACCAGCTCCATGAGGTAGTCACCTGGAATTCATTTCAATTAACAGGTGTGCTTTGTTAAAAGTTAATTTGTGGAATTTCTTTCCTTCTTAATGCGTTTGAGCTAGTCAGTTGTGTTGTGACAAGGTAGGGAGGGTATACAGAAGATAGCCTTATTTGGTAAAAGACCAAGTCCATATTATGGCAGGAACAGCTCAAATAAGCAAAGAGAAACGACAGTCCATCATTACTTTAAGATATGAAGGTCAGTCAATCCAGAACATTTCAAGAACTTTGAAAGTTTCTTCAAGTGCAGTCGCAAAAACCATCAAGCGCTATGATGAAACTGGCTCGCATAAGGACCGCCACAGGAAAGGAAGACCCAGAGTTACCTCTGCTGCAGAGGATAAGTTCATTAGCGTTACCAGCCTCAGAAATTGCAGCCCAAATAAATGCTTCAGAGAGTTCAAGTAACAGACACATCACCATCAACTGTTCAGAGGAGACTGCATGAATCAGGCCTTCATGGTCGAAGAAGAGACTTGCTTGAGCCAAGAAACACGAGCAATGGACAATAGACCGGTGGAAATCTGTCCTTTGGTCTGATGAGTCCAAATTTGAGGTTTTTGGTTCCAACCGGCGTGTCTTTGTGAGACGCAGAGTAGGTGAACGGATGATCTCCGCATGTGTAGTTCCCACCATGAAGCATGGAGGAGGAGGTGTGGGGGTGCTTTGCTGGTGACACTCTCTGGGATTTATTTAGAATTCAAGGCACACTAACCAGCATGGCTACCACAGCATTCTGCAGCGATACACCATCCCATCTGGTTTGCGCTTAGTGGGACTATCATTTGTTTTTCAACAGGACAATGACCCAACACACCTCCAGGCTGTGTAAGCGCTATTTGATGAAGAAGGAGAGTGATGGAGTGCTGCATCAGATGACATGGCCTCCACAATCACCCAACCTCAACCCAATTGAGATAGTTTGGAATGAGTTGGACCGCAGAGTGAAGGAAATGCAGCCATCAAGTGCTCAGCATATGTGTTAACTCCTTCAAGATCCTTTGCCAACAGTGTGCAAAGCTGTCATCAAGGCAAAGGCTGGCTACTTTGAAGAATCTAAAATATTTTGATTTGTTTAACACCTTTTTGGTTACTACATGATTCCATATGTGTTATTTCATAGTTTTGATGTCTTCACTATTATTCTACAATGTAGAAAATAGTAAAAATAAAGAATAACTAAAAATAACAAAAAAATCCAGAAAAACGCATGTTTTAATAAATTGATTTGCATTTTAATTAGGGAAATAAGTATTTGACCCCTCTGCAAAACAAGACTTAGTACTTGGTGGCAAAACCCTTGTTGGCAATCACAGAGGTCAGACGTTTCTTGTAGTTGGCCACCAGGTTTTCACACATCTCAGGAGGGATTTTGTTCCACTCCTCTTTGCAGATCTTCTCCAAGTCATTAAGGTTTCGAGGCTGACGTTTGGCAACTCGAACCTTCAGCTCCCTCCACAGATTTTCTATGGAATTAAGGTCTGGAGACTGGCTAGGCCACTCCAGGACCTTAATGTGCTTCTTCTTGAGCCACTCCTTTGTTGCCTTGGCCATGTGTTTTCGGTCATTGTCATGCTGGAATACCCATCCACGACCCATTTTCAATGTCCTGGCTGAGGGAAGGAGGTTCTCACCCAAGATTTGACGGTACATGGCCCCGTCCATCGTCCCTTTGATGCGGTGAAGTTGTCCTGTCCCCTTAGCAGAAAAACACCCCCAAAGCATAATGTTTCCACCTCCATGTTTGACGGTAGGGATGGTGTTCTTGGGGTCATAGACAGCATTCCTCCTCCTCCAAACACGGCGAGTTGAGTTGATGCCAAAGAGTTCCATTTTGGTCTCATCTGACCACAACACTTTCACCCAGTTCTCCTCTGAATCATTCAGATGTTCATTGGCAAACTTCAGACGGCCCTGTATAAGTGCTTTCTTGAGCAGGGGGACCTTGCGGGCGCTGCAGGATTTCAGTCCTTCACGGCATAGTGTGTTACCAAATGTTTTCTTGTTGACTATGGTCCCAGCTGCCTTGAGATCATTGACAAGATCCTCCCGTGTAGTTCTGGGCTGATTCCTCACCGTTCTCATGATCATTGCAACTCCACGAGGTGAGATCTTGCATGGAGCCCCAGGCCGAGGGAGATTGACAGTTATTTTGAGTTTCTTCCATTTGCGAATAATCGCACCAACTGTTGTCACCTTCTCACCAAGCTGCTTGGCGATGGTCTTGTAGCCCATTCCAGCCTTGTGTAGGTCTACAATCTTGTCACTGACATCCTTGGAGAGCACTTTGGTCTTGGCCATGGTGGAGAGTTTGGAATCTGATTGATTGATTGCTTCTGTGGACAGGTGTCTTTTATACAGGTAACAAGCTGAGATTAGGAGCACTCCCTTTAAGAGTGTGCTCCTAATCTCAGCTCGTTACCTGTATAAAAGACACCTGGGAGCCAGAAATCTTTCTGATTGAGATGGGGTCAAATGCTTATTTCCCTCATTAAAATGCAAATCAATTTATAACATTTTTGACATGCATTTTTCTGGATTTTTTTGTTGTTATTCTGTCTCTCACAGTTCAAATAAACCTACCATTAAAATTATAGACTGATCATTTCTTTGTCAGTGGGCAAACGTACAAAATCAGCAGGGGATCAAATACTTTTTTCCCTCACTGTACAGGTCTTTAACAAAGTCCAGCCAACCTATTGATACAGGATGCAGTGATGCGTATCAAAACAGTCACCTGTAACAAACCGAAGGGCACAATGGTAGATGACATCCGAAGGTTTAAGATTAGTAGCAGCTTCACTTTGATAAATAATATCACCATAATCAAGAACAGATAAAAAGGTTGACTGAATAATCAGCTTCTGACTGCTTTGCTTATTAAGATTAATATTGTAGGCACATGATTGTGATTTGTTAGTCATTAACACAATGGAAAAATCTAATTATTGAAATAGCATGGGCGACCAAGAAAAACAAATCGGTACAATTTAAGGCCATGTGGCAAACATTAATGCAGGCACTAGGGATGGAGGTGTGAGCATGCAGGTCTGGCCAGAGGAGATGTAGTCGTTGTTTATGTGCGTCTGTAAGTTGTTGTTCGTATGTGTATGTTAGTATTTGGTGTAAATGTTTTGTTGTTGAAAAAGACAAATAAAATATTATAAAAAAATAAAAAAAGACAAGTGGCAAATTATCCTTATAAAGACCTAATGTATTGCATTGTACCTGGAGGATCCACAGGCTAGCTATGACATGAATGATAATGACCCCAACCCAGACACTCAATACTCTCTGACCAGACCGAAGAGGTAATTTGATGTGATGTTATTAGGATTTTAATGCAAGATATTATATAATGTAGCATGTATGAAGGGAACTATGTGACGACATTCTGAATGGATGAACCCCTTTTGTCCTCTGCTCCATAGGCATGGAACACGGTGTGCTGGGGTGGTGGCAGCGGTGGCAAATAATGGAGTGTGTGGGGTTGGAGTGGCATATCAGGCCAAGATCGGAGGCAAGTATTACCCATACATTCACTCATTCTCTCTCTGTTAATAGCATACAGAACAGTACGGTAATTATCCTGCTTTCATTTTCATCCTGGCCTTTTCTGTTTTGTCCAGGAGTTCGGATGTTGGATGGACAAGTGACTGACCTGATAGAAGCCATGTCCTTACATTTCAATCAGCAGCACATTGACATCTACAGCTCTAGCTGGGGACCTGAAGATTTGGGGACGAATTTGGAGGGGCCAAACACATTAGCCCAAGAAGCCTTTATCAGAGGCATTACCAATGTATGGCACAACTTGTACCGGTCATCCTATATTACCTGTTTCATCAGTATTGTCAATTTTGTTAGAAAAGGTGAAACAATGTAATCGGCATGGCAACTAGAGCAGTAAGATCATACAATGAGTCTTAAAAAACACATTCAATACCTTACAGGGCCGAGGTGGCTTGGGTTCCATTTACATCTGGGCTTCAGGCAATGGGGGCGCCAGCTTTGACAACTGCAACTGCGATGGCTACACCAATAGCATTTACACGTTGTCTGTTGGTAGTACCACTGAGAGGGGAACTCTGCCCTTCTACAGTGAACCCTGCTCTGCCATTCTAACAACTACCTACAGTGGTGGCAGCTTTCATCACCGCAGAATTGTAAGTGTCTTTTTCCCCAACTCATCCCATGTTAGTGTTTTCAACATTCATATAATTTCTTTTAAAATATGCATTTAGAGTGACAAAGCATTCTGTTAAATCTTTGACTAGTTTAGCTTTAGATTAATCATGCTTAAAAAGTAGTCACATAAATGCAAAAGGCTGCTGAAGACGTGTGGAACTTGAAAAAGGTCTATATTTATCTCACATTTACCATCTACAGCAACAAATGAAATCACATTTTATTTGCCACATGCGCCGAAAACAACAGGTGTAGACCTTACAGTGAAATGCTTACTTACAAGCCCTTAACCAATAATGCAGTTTTAAGAAGAAAAAAAATGTTAAGTAAAAAATAGATAAGTAAAAAATAAAAATAGCAAATAATTAAAGAGCAGCAGTAAAATAAAATAACAGTAGGGAGGCTATATACAGGGGGTACCGGTACAGAGTTAGTCGAGGTAATTGGGGTAATATGTACATGTGGGTAGAGTTAAAGTGGTTATCCCACTGGCTATAGGGTGAACGCACCAATTGGTGAGTCGCTCTGGATAAGAGCGTCTGCTAAATGACGTAAATGTGCCCTTGAGCAAGGCACTTAACCCTAATTGCTCCTGTAAGTCGCTCTGGATAAGAGCGTCTGCTAAATGACTAAAATGTAAATGTAAATAATAAACAGAGTAGCAGCAGCGTAAAAGAGGGGGTGGGGGGGACAATGCAAATAGTCCGGGTAGCCATGATTAGCTGTTCAGGAGTCTTATGGATTGGGGGTAGAAGCTGTTAAGAAGCCTTTTGGACCTAGACTTGGCGCTCCGGTACCGCTTACCGTGTGGTAGCAGAGAGAACAGTCCATGACTAGGGTGGCTGGAGTCTGACAATTTTTAGGGCCTTCCTCTGACAGTAAGCAAAGCCTCAACAAAATACCTAGATGTTGTTTCCCTTTCAGGTCACCACCGACCTGCATCAGTCTTGCACCTCAGACCATACTGGGACCTCTGCCTCTGCCCCTCTGGCTGCTGGGATCATTGCACTGGCTCTGGAGGCAAAGTAACCATTCCCTTGTCTCTGTACCTGTAACTCAATAACCTATTTGTTGTAAGTTTGAGGCTTTGTGTCATCGAGAAAGATGATAATATCCCAACTTCTCTCACAGCCCGACACTTAACTGGCGTGATGTGCAACACCTCGTGGTGCGAGCATCTAGACCGGCAGATCTTCAAACGCATGATTGGCGGACCAATGGTGTCGGAAGACCTGGTGAGACACAAAGCACTACCTTCTAGTGTTAGGTAGTTGACCATTTAGGGAAACTTTGATGTGATTTGCTAGACTGTAGGGCCTGAAATTGAGTTGGAATTAGTGAACTGGGCTGCGTTTAGACAGTCAGCCCAATTCTGATATTATTTTCACTAATTGGTCTTTTGACCAATCAGATCCGCTCTGAAAAAGATCTGATGTGATTGGTCAAAAGACCAATTAGTGGAAAAAATATAAGAATAGGGCTCCTGTGAAAACGCAGCTATAACATCATACACCTGATTTGCTTTATTGTAGTCAGCCATTACTATGGATATGGGCTACTGGATGCAGGGAGACTTGTGGACTTGGCCAGTAAATGGAAAGCAGTCAGACCTAAAAGGAAATGCACCATTGACCTCATTACCAGAGCCATGTAAGGAAAACACCCTTGCCCTTTCATCTCACTTATGGATAGTTAGTAGGAAAACAGCCACTTATCAGTGTGTTCTACAGCGGTTTACAGTAAACATAAACATGATATTCAGATTTTCTTGAGCATGAACAGAAGTGGAGGCTGGTGGGAGGAGCTATAGGACGGGCTCATTGTAATGGCTGGGATGCAATACATGGAACGTAGTCAAACGTGATTTCCATATGTGCGGTGTTTGATACCATTCCATTCCAGCCATTACAATGAGGCCGTCCTATAGCTCCCCCCACCAGCCACCACTAATAAAGTAATTCCACTAATTCATAATACCAACTTGGCCAGTTAGATTTGTTATACCTGATGCTCTGTCTGTCTGACAGTGAACTCCGCAGGAAACTGACATTGAGGTGGAATGTGAAAGCTGGATTCTGTCTCTGGAGCACATCCAGGCCCGTCTTACACTGACCTACACTGACCTACAGTTGTGGTCAGATGAGACCAAAATCGAGCTATTTGGCATCAACTCAACTCGCCGTGTTGGGAGGAGGAGGAATGCTGCCTATGACCCCAAGAACACCATCCCCACCGTCAAACATGGAGGTGGAAACATTGTGCTTTGGGGGTGTTTTTCTACTAAGGGGACAGGACAACTTCACTGCATCAAAGGGACGATGGACGGGGCCATGTACCGTCAAATCTTGGGTGAGAACCTCCTTCCCTCAGCCAGGGCATTGAAAATGGGTCGTGAATGGGTATTCCAGCGTGACAATGATCCAAAACACACGGCCAAGGCAACAAAGGAGTGGCTCAAGAAGAAGCACATTAAGGTCCTGGAGTGGCCAAGCCAGTCTCCAGACCTTAATCCCATAGAAAATCTGTGGAGGGAGCTGAAGGTTCGAGTTGCCAAACGTCAGCCTCGAAACCTTAATGACTTGGAGAAGATCTGCAAAGAGGAGTGGGACAAAATACCTCCTGAGATGTGTGCAAACCTGGTGGCCAACCACAAGAAACGTCTGACCTCTGTGATTGCCAACAAGGGTTTTGCCACCAAGTACTAAGTCATGTTTTGCAGAGGGGTCAAATACTTATTTCCCTCATTAAAATGCAAATCAATTTATAACATTTATTACATGCGTTTTTCTGGATTTTTTTGTTGTTATTCTGTCTCTCACTGTTCAAATAAACCTACCATTAAAATTATAGACTGATAATTTCTTTGTCAGTGGGCAAACGTACAAAATCAGCAGGGGATCAAATACTTTTTTCCCTCACTGTATGTATATTTACAAAAACATTTGAGGGATTGGAAATGATGCAGACAATTACATTGATGGAAGTTGATCTACCCCCAACCCCAGAAAAAGAAAAAGAAATAAAAAATACATAAAGTAGGAAAGCATATACACACTGTTGTCATAAGGTAGAATAAATATTATACATACGGCATAATGGTGAAGTATCAGGGTTTCAGTATGCAACAACAGGTCCAAGTGTGACCTATCTTTTCTTCAGTGTACTAAAATATTCCAATCCAATGTTGCTTCACAGGCTTTACGATAAAACGTCTACAGGTTTCTCAGACTGGGCCTTCATGAGTATACACTGCTGGGATGAGGATCCCTCCGGCTATTGGGTTCTACGGATAGAAAACCGAGATTCAACTAACAGAGGTACACTGACTTCAGCATTCATTCTCACACTGACAAAAACAAAGATGTTGCAATTTAAGGTGTCAACTCCAATAACACAGCGAGGGTCTTAAACTTCATCTCTGGTATTTCAATTCGTTAATGGCAGAAATAAATAGTACACATAACATCTAATTAGAAACAGAAACATAGGCCCCCCTGTAGCTCAGTTGGTAGAGCATGGCGCTTGCAACGCCAGGGTTGTGGGTTCGTTTCCCATGGGGGGCCAGTATGAAAATGTATGCACTCGCTAACTGTAAGTCGCTCTGGATAAGAGCGTCTGCTAAATGACTCAAATGTAAATGTCAGAGGCTGGCATTCTGTTTGGCTCTCGCTTGCTTCTTTATTAGGCCTTCCTGTTCAAACTCACACCTCATCGAAAGATACTACTCATGACATGAAAATTATTTGTTTTTGTTCCCTAGTTTCTCACACAATTACAATTTAGGTCAGGATTTGTATGCTTTACATTGTGCAATGGACATTTTCTACAATGTACTCTAGCACCAACTTGTTTATTTTTTCTTTGTCCATAGGCATCCTGTTGAAATTTCATCTAGAGTTGCATGGGACAGATGAACGCATGACAGGCCGTTGCATGGAGAGGGCAGTGATACAGCAATGTGCAGTGGGGAACTCTGATGGCAGCTGTGAAGGTAGGCAGCAACATTAATCATACCCTGAATTTATACTGAACAAAAATAAACGCAAAATGCGACAATTAACGATTTTACTGAGTTACAGTTCATATACAGTGGGGAAAGAAAGTATTTAGTCAGCCACCAATTGTGCAAGTTCTCCCACTTAAAAAGATGAGAGAGGCCTGTAGTTTTCATCATAGGTACATGTCAACTATGACAGACAAATTGAGGAGAAAAAAATCCAGAAAATCACATTGTAGGATTTTTAATGAATTTATTTGCAAATTATGGTGGAAAATAAGTATTTGGTCACCTACAAACAAGCAAGATTTCTGGCTCTCACAGACCTGTAACTTCTTCTTTAAGAGGCTCCTCTGTCCTCCACTCGTTACCTGTATTAATGGCACCTGTTTGAACTTGTTATCAGTATAAAAGACACCTGTCCACAACCTCAAACAGTCACACTCCAAACTCCACTATGGCCAAGACCAAAGAGCTGTCAAAGGACACCAGAAACAAAATTGTAGACCTGCACCAGGCTGGGAAGACTGAATCTGCAATAGGTAAGCAGCTTGGTTTGAAGAAATCAACTGTGGGAGCAATTATTAGGAAATGGAAGACATACAAGACCACTGATAATCTCCCTCGATCTGGGGCTCCACGCAAGATCTCACCCCGTGGGGTCAAAATGATCACAAGAACGGTGAGCAAAAATCCCAGAACCACACGGGGGGACCTAGTGAATGACCTGCAGAGAGCTGGGACCAAAGTAACAAAGCCTACCATCAGTAACACACTACGCCGCCAGGGACTCAAATCCTGCAGTGCCAGACGTGTCCCCCTGCTTAAGCCAGTACATGTCCAGGCCCGTCTGAAGTTTGCTAGAGTGCATTTGGATGATCCAGAAGAGGATTGGGAGAATGTCATATGGTCAGATGAAACCAAAATATAACTTTTTGGTAAAAACTCAACTCGTCGTGTTTGGAGGACAAAGAATGCTGAGTTGCATCCAAAGAACACCATACCTACTGTGAAGCATGGGGGTGGAAACATCATGCTTTGGGGCTGTTTTTCTGCAAAGGGACCAGGACGACTGATCCGTGTAAAGGAAAGAATGAATGGGGCCATGTATCGTGAGATTTTGAGTGAAAACCTCCTTCCATCAGCAAGGGCATTGAAGATGAAACGTGGCTGGGTCTTTCAGCATGACAATGATCCCAAACACACCGCCCGGGCAACGAAGGAGTGGCTTCGTAAGAAGCATTTCAAGGTCCTGGAGTAGCCTAGCCAGTCTCCAGATCTCAACCCCATAGAAAATCTTTGGAGGGAGTTGAAAGTCCGTGTTGCCCAGCGACAGCCCCAAAACATCACTGCTCTAGAGGAGATCTGCATGGAGGAATGGGCCAAAATACCAGCAACAGTGTGTGAAAACCTTGTGAAAGACTTACAGAAAATGTTTGACCTGTGTCATTGCCAACAAAGGGTATATAACAAAGTATTGAGAAAGTTTTGTTATTGACCAAATACTTATTTTCCACCATAATTTGCAAATAAATTCATTAAAAATCCTATATTGTGATTTTCTGGATTTTTTTTCTCTCATTTTGTCTGTCATAGTTGACGTGTACCTATGATGAAAATTACAGGCCTCTCTCATCTTTTTAAGTGGGAGAACTTGCACAATTGGTGGCTGACTAAATACTTTTTTCCCCCACTGTAATGAAATCAGCCAAATTAAATACATTCATTAGGCCCTAATCTATGGATTTTAACTTGACTGGGCAGGGGCGCAGCCATGGGTGGGCCTGGGAGGGCATAGGCCCACCCACTGGGGAGCCAGGCCCAGCCAATCAGAATGAGTTTTTCCCCACAAAAGGGCTTTATTACAGACAGAAATACTCCTCAGTTTCATCAGCTGTCTGGGTGGCTGGTCTCATACGATCCCGCAGGTGAAGAAGCCGGATGTGGAGGTCCTGGGCTGGGGTGGTTACATGTGGTCTGCGGTTGTGAGGCCGGTTGGATGTACCGCCAAATTCTCTAAAACGACGTTGAAGGCGGCTTATGGTAGAGAAATTAACATTCAATTCTCAGACAACAGCTCTGGTGGACATTCCTGCAGTCAGCATTCCAATTGCACACTCCTTCAAAACTTGAGGCATCTGTGGCATTCTGTTGTGTGACAAAACTGCACATTTTAGAGTGCCCTTTTATTGTCCCCAGCACAAGGCACCTGTGTAATGATCATGCTTTTTATTCAGCTTCTTGATATGCCACACCTGTCATGTGGATGGATTATCTTGGCAGAGGAGAAATGCTCACTAACAGGGATGTAAACAAATGTGTGATTTTTTAAATAGAGAAATCAGCTATTTGTGCATATGGAACATTTCTGGGATCTTCTATTTCAGCTCATGAAACATGGGACCAACACTTTACATGTTGCGTTTACATTTTTGTTCAGTATAGTTTACAATGAAACAGTTGCACACTGTAATGTAACATTTTATAAGACAGTTTGAAAATGTTACTAACCAAGTAAGGATCCTCCTATTTTAGAGTGTGTCTACCCATTGTACGTGTTTGAGAGCATCTGCCTGATGTCCTGTCTACCTCACTACTATGAGTCAGATGGAAACAGCACCCGCTCCCATCGGAGGTGCTTACGCTGCCATCGCAACTGCCACACTTGTTTTGGCAAACAGGACACAAACTGTCTGGACTGCCCTCCGTATTCCACCTTGGATTCTCGTCTTGGTACCTGTAGCCCCCCTGTCTACCCCTGGGACCACAGAGGTAAAGTGACCAGTGGCATGGAGCGGACGGCAGCAGTTCTTGGTATCTTGATGGGAGGGCCGCTGGTGATTTTGTGTGTCATGTGGGCGATTACATGGATGGTGAGCAGGGCGTTCCTACCATGTGTCGCTGCCAGGAACGAAGTGGACAGCAGCACCAGTCATAGCAGCAGTGAGGAGGCCAGGGATGTGGAGATGGTGGTCTTCAGTATTACAGAAGACCAGGGAGAGAACAGCGAGAGAACATCTACATTCACCAACATTCCCAATACTTCACTTCAAGAGGAATGTGACTCGCTTCAGTCAACATAAAAGTAGCCAATAATCAATTCTATGTCGACTAACAGAAACAAAAGAAATACTTTTCCAAATAGCTTTTATTGTTACTTCAGTTTCATTTACAAACTTTTGGACGGATAAAATAAATGTATATTTTGGACCCAAGTTGCATTCAGTGGTTTTTATAAGAACACATCAATTGGTAGAATATCCATCCATTTTCAATTATAACTTTTAAGTCAAAGTACTTCACAGAACATTAAATATATGCACTGGAATAGCTTAAAAGGACACACATTTAGAAGTAGAACATTGTTCAAAGACTTCCTCCACAACTAAAGGGAGGAACGGCTCTTGCATTTCAGATAATAAGCATGAATCCACATAAAAAGGTCCTGTATATGAGGAGCAAAATACAACTTAAGCCTTTACAGACTTAGAGGTTAGTGGCATTCTGTGTAGCTCTGCTGAACTTCAGACCACAGGAATGGGCTATTTCTGGGTTCTAAGCTTTCTCTTTAAGTTATAAGGGACCGTGCTCTCCTCCTTACTGCGTTTCCAAGATATCCGTGGGTATGACACTATCTGATTTGCCACTGGGGCTCTGTGACACCTCCAGAGGCCAGGATGAAGGGGTGGTCTGATAATAGAGTATGTCCTCCGACCCAAAGAGCAGTTGTCTGAGGCTCAAGTCGTACAGACAGTACAGATTGAAAGCCACCATGGCAAGGAGTGGGAAAACAGTAAGCCCCGATCCAAAGCCTCTCCAGGGGCTACACATGTGGAAGCAGAGCCAGTAGATAAGCCTATAGGAATAAAATGTGGGGGAGAAACTTAAAACATGTTCAGCTTTATAATAATTCATAATTAGGTGCTTACATTTGTCCTGCACTTGTACATGTGTGAAATGTATATTTGTTTTTTGCATATCCCACTCCCCCTGACACCCTCGGAGAATGGGGTCAGAGACAGGGATCAGACATTATTGATGGCAACCCTGAAGCAATAAAGGTTAAGTGCCTTGCTAAACGGCACAGAGATTTTTCACCTAGTCGGCTCGGGGATTTGAACCAGTAATCTTTCGGTTTCTAGCCCAATGCACCTAACCCCTAAGCTACCTGCCGTCCATTCTAGAGCACGGTGACACGTCACTCTTTTTACTCACTGAGCAATCAATGGCTTTGAAACCACTCACCTCCCTCCAACGAAAACTCCAGTCAAAATGGGCACCACCCTCAGATGGTCTTGATGCAGGAATGTAGCCAGAACCAACAGATTGAGAACGTAGAGAAACAACTGCTCCATAGACGCAGAGACAAACAGCTGCTGAATGGCCGGTTTTCTGTGGAGAGCCTCAGCTGGATTCAAAGACCCAGTGCAGAACTGGCACATAGCACCAATCAGCATAGCTAGAGGGGGAGTAATAGGCATGTTAGTACTCGAATTTGAAAACACAACACAAAACACCTAATGGTCTTTGATTTTGTCTGGCATCATGTGTCTTCAGCATCCTAGTTTGAAGAAAAACTGCCTTTGAACTGATGCTTGGTCCAGTCTTTGATAATACCCTCCTTTTCTGCTTGAACATACGACTACTAATACTTGAACACAGATATGTTTCCTGCTTGAACATACAACATTCGACTAAGAAAACTTGAAAACCAATATGTGAAGGGATTTGTTTTTAGCCATGTTGCTTTCTACAATCAGGTCCTTTCAGTAGAGAGAAAATGAGATGAAGAAAGTAATGAGAAACTATTAGGACACTGCCCAGGAGACTGGAGAACTAGTTACCCTCATCTTTTCTATTCTAGTTTCCATGTTAAGCTATTTATAAGAAGAGGGAGGAATTTGCCAGCCAGTGCTTCAGTAAGACTTGCATTGCCTTGAGGTTGAATTGTAGACAAAGACTAAGCCTTAGACAAATTATGAGACATGTGGACTACTAGACAACCTAAATCACTTAATACTGCATTCAAGAGCTTTTTGGGAGATTGATTGCTCCAACTAAATACGTAGGTTTGTAGAGCTCAGTATAAAGGCACCCCACTGAGCAAAAACTGGTTGAATCAACGTTGTTTCCATGTCATTTCTATTTATTGATTTTTTTTAATGTGATGACTTTGAATCAATGTGGGAAAATTATTGGATTTGGAAAAAGTCATCAACGTAAATGGATTTGATCTCTTTCACCCAACTTTTTACCTAAATCCAATGACGGGACATTTTTTGTTGATTTCACTTTAGTTGACAACTCAAACCAAATTTAAATCAAAACTAGATGTTGAACTGATGTCTGTGCCCAGTGTGACAGTTTTTGTTTGAGTCTCATATGAAACAATGATTCAGACATACCCAACAAGACGGGGAAAGCAGCTACGGCACAGCAGCAAAGTGTGAAAGTGAGGCGGCTGACCATGTCAGGGCAGTCTGGGGCAACTATGGGAATGTAGAAATAGAGTGCATAGAGAAGCCCCGCAGTAAACAGAAGGGAGGCCAGGACTGAGCACACAGCAGGAACGCGGCCACTTTGGCAACATCTACAGCAGCAGCACCGTCTCTTGTCTGCCACCTCTGGGACAGCCTCACAAGTCTCTTGATCTTGGGAACTCCACATAGTCAACTCTATGCTCTCCGGTGGCAAGCCGAGCAACGGTTGGCCTTCATCAATGGTGGACTCCAGATTGTTGGATTCTGGACTCCATCTCTGTGTGTCTGTGCCATTGGGAATGTCTCTCAGAGAGGCTGGATTTGGAGTGCTGATGCAGTTTTCCACCGGGTCTTCCAAATTGTGCACTGTAGCAATCAGACTTGAAATAGTTCCATCCTGAACTCCCTCTTTCCCCTCTTGCGGTCTTCGCTCTGCTTTGAAGCCCTCGCTGTGTTGCTGGTGGCAGGAATCAAGCTCTGTACAAAACAAAGCATAATCAACTCATCTTTCTGCCACCATATGTTCAATGTTGTGAATAATGCATGTCACCCAATCTGCACATGTTTATTTAGTGGCACTCAAATAAAAAATGTGTTTGTTCGATTATCACTTACGGACAAGTTGATCGGCTGGCAGGGCTTCCAGGGAGTGGTGAGAGCCAGTGACTGAGTGAGAAGAGGAGTGGAGCTCCTCCACTGAAGATTCAGGACTGTCAGACACTGGTGCTAAAGAGATCTGGGTGTCTAGGTCTAGGAATGGAGAGAATGACAGCCTGGCAGGGTCAATATCCTGCAGTTGATTGATGATGTCACTGATGGACTCCTTCACACTGTCAATCTCTTTGCCATCTTCTGGGTTGGTGGCTTGACGCCCCGTCATAGTCGCACAGCCTACAGAACTGCAGATAGACCATTTCACATTTACTATGTGATCCTTACAATGTAACATGACAAGTAATATCGGTCGTATTGATATTGTTTGCGTCTCTGCACGCGAGGTTCAAAGGGTCCACCCCATTCATGCCAGGCTGTATTATGAACATCTGGGTATTCAATTTGGAATCGGCCCTTGGGGCAGCGCCAATAGTGGCGGGCGGCTAGTCATCTGCTTTTAGGACTGACACGCAACTAAACCAAAACCGTCACGACTGGGGTTCATTCTCTAAACAAAATACGGATTTCCTAGACTATCATAACATTTTGTGCAGCTTTGGGAAAGTGAGGCATCGAATTTAAATTAAAAATTAAAAATGTGCATTTGCTGTTCTCTTGCAGATTAATTGTTGCCAGTTGCATTCATTGATTAGGATATTAGTATTTTTCTTTGATTAGGATACTTGATGGTTGAAGTGGTAGTCTATTGATCATAAATAATACATCTAATATTCCCACATCAAATTACTAACAATAACAAGAGGAGCAATATAAACGATAGCCTCATCATTTAGGTCTGATGAAACCATTATTCAAAAGCTTAGTTTATAAATAGTACAGTCATATGGCAGGACAATCAAAATCCATACAGAGAAAGTAGCCTACACACTTCTTCTTTTCTATTCGATGAAAAGATGCTTAGGATACTTACTTTTTCGAGGAATGCAGAATAACTGTAGTTTCAATTTCTTGGAAAAATGTATTCAGTTTCTTCGGGGGTTTTTTTTCCTTCCCCCAACTTTTGTCTTCTACAATCTGGTATACAGTCTCAACTTCTGAATCAAATTTCAAGACGGACAAAATACTACGTTTTAGCCCCCGCCCACACACTTTCTGGGTACCATGTCACACAGACCATATGGAGACAATAAATCCAAAGCGGATACACAGGGGGGGGTGGGGCTCTGCTGTTGTGTCCAGATATTTAGAAAATAAACCTTACTTAAAACTTAACAGGAAGTCACCTGGAGTTGTTCATCAAATAAATCAACCTCCCGTAAAGCGCTCTGATCCACCCAGAGATTTAAAAAGAAATCACATGCAAAGTTATTTCAACTCAGATTTGCAAGCTCTTCAAGGGTTTCCAAAAGCAGTCTGAAATTAACCCACCCAGACCTTAGTGTCGACTGAAAGGTGACCAGGTGCCAACCCCTGAGACTGATTTGTGAATCATGTTGAAACGGTTGAAAGTTTAAAAAGATAAGAGAATAGGAACACTGACAATAGCAGTCTGTGTTCCTGCCACGTGGGGGAAACTGGCATTAGAGTATTGGTGGGAAGGTCCGTTTAAGGGGGGGGTGTATGTTCAAGTTTGACAAGTTTAGTTTCTGAATATTCATTCTTGCCGTAAATGTATTGTCAATTCCATATACAAAATTAGTAAAAAAAACAAAAAAACTAATAGGCTAACCATGGAAATCATAGGACACATTCATGACATTTCTATAGTGTGCTAAAGGCACTGTAAAGGTAGCCAGAATAGATTGACCCTATGCTTGCTTACAGCTGCACTGGGGTCAGACAGGATTCCTGTTTAGATTAAGACACCATGGAGTTGGAGTGTGATATGGCTTGAAAAACGTACCTTAATCCAGATATAAGAAATACGTTGTACTCCGAATTGTCCCATTATCCCAACTGTTAGATCGAGATTGAACGACTGCTAGTTTTTCCGGAAAACTGCCCTTTTCGTCCTCATGCTAAGTAGAAGAAGCCAAAGCAGCCATTTTGGAATTGCAGTGTCAGCCAATCAGCTACTTTGTTGTTCAACGCTACGTGCCATTCCATAATGGCTGTGGTGGGTACCAATAGCTAGCATGAGGATGAAAATAGCAGTTTACTTAAAAACTAGCAGTCGTTCAATGATTCTCGGTGTAGCAGTTGAGATAATGGGACAACATTTTACATTTACATTTTAGTCATTTAGCAGACGCTCTTATCCAGAGCGACTTACAGGAGCAATTAGGGTTAAGTGCCTTGCTCAAGGGCACATCGACAGATTTTTCACCTAGTTGGCTCGGGGATTAGAACCAGCGACCTTTCGGTTACTGGCACAACGCTCTTAACCACTAAGCTACCTGCCGACAATTCGGAGTACAACGCATTTCTCATCCCTGGATTGAGGTATGTTTTCCGACCCATATCTCAAATCAAATCACATTTTATTTGCCACATGCGCCGAATACAACTTAGTGAAATGCTTACTTACAAGCCCTTAACCAACAATGCAGTTTTAATAAAAATAAGTGTTAAGTAAAGAAATAGATAAGTAAAAAATAAAAATAAAAAATAATTAAAGAGCAGCAGTAAAATCAAGTAACAGTAGGGAGGCTATATACAGGGGGTACCGGTACAGAGTTAGTTGAGGTCATATGTACATGTGGGTAGAGTTAATGCAAATATTCCGGGTAGCCATGATTAGCTGTTCAGGAGTCTTATGGCTTGGGGTGGGGTAGAAGCTGTTAAGAAACCTTTTGGACCTAGACTTGGCGCTCCGGTACCGCCTGCCGTGCGGTAGCAGAGAGAACAGTCCATGACTAGGGTGGCTGAAGTCTGACAATTTTTAGAAACCACCTGGTATAGAGGTCCTGGATGGCAGGGAGCTTGGCCCCAGTGATGTACTGGGCTGTACGCACTACCCTCTCGCACCAGCTCCGTGGTTTCTTAATCTAAACAGGAAGCCTGTCTGACCCCAGTGCAGATGTAAGCAGTATTGTCAGAATCTAGTTTGGCAAGCGTAAAGGGAGATATGCATGAAAATTCAACACTTGTGGGCTCGCCTTGACCCCAGAAGAGAGGTTATCCAGACAAATAAGACTAAATTCATCAGACCCTTCTTAAATAATGCAGAAAAATGACCAACATGGTTTAAGTTGTTTTATTTTATTATTTACAGAAACTTTTTCTGGCTTTAGTTGAGGTGAAAAATCCACTCATGTCACTAAAATAATCAATGAATATGTACATAACGGCTTCTAAAAAGCTATTTTCTGTCAATAAATTAGGATTATTAAGTATGAAGAACATATTTTAAATTGCGTCATTATATTCAGTAGTTCATTTTTCAACTATTAGCAATTTATTGCTGGGCAGAGTGACAAATGTTTGGGAACGATATAGAAACTCTGCATGTTAAATTGACACACTATCAGTAACCTTTTGGTCATTCAGGGATTATACAGAAGGACTAGGATAGTAGATCTAGTTCATGTTTGTAATTAAAAAGTTTATGGAAGGATGATCAGAAGCCTTTTCTCAATCCTCAGAGAGCAGTCTGTGAAAGTGGTCTGTCCTCCTCTTCAGTACTTCCCGGCAATCATCCTACAGAAAAATGGTGCCTTCAAATTAGTAAAAACATCCACTATTTCTTTAGTAGGACACTGGTGCTGTTTCTTGTGGAATACAAGTAGTGGGCCCAGTCTTTTTTGAATTACATTTCCAAACATAAGATAACAGTTTTGACTTGTGGTATTTGTAGAATACTAGCCAAGTGTTTGAGATTGAGTCAAGGTTAGTTTCTCTGCTTTTTCCATACCCAAGGGGACATATTTTTCACCAGGATCCTATTTTATACCCACTTCCCAAATGAGATCTCTGTAGCATGTATGATGTTTGTTTTGTCAAACGAGATTTAATCCTAGAAGACACCTAAGTAGGTAGTGAATTATGGAAATTGAACAAAAACATTAATTACATATATAATGAAAATAATACTTGTATGCCACCTGAGGTGGGATACCAAAACACTGTCAACTTACTGTTCCTGACACTCTCTCAAGATACGGGATGAGCTTTTGAAGTTCTTTGTCCTCCTTATCCCCAGACCAGCTCTTGATGGGAAGCATATTCATCAGCTGCAGAAATAAAGTAGGAATTGTAATTAAATAAAACCCCACTCTGCTTCCAAAAAAAAAATGTAATAAGCATTGTATAATTAAGTAAACAACATCACAGTAAACACACATGGTAGGGGTATGTGTGTGGAGCGTTGTCCAAAACCACCGTCTTAGCAAGGTCCCTCTCAAGTACGCCCAAATCCTTGACATAGTGCCCAAGAACACAGGTACAGTCCTGTTGATACAAACGGTGTCTACAAAAGGAGATATCAGTTATGGACATTTAAAGTACAACCTAATATCAACTGAAATCTATTCCTCAATTTATTCAAAGGAGATGAGATTGTCAGCCTGTCTCTGGTACACAAAACTCTGCAGCTGCAATATCTCTAAAACTGAGACAATACAGCAAAACAAGCATGGCCAAAAGGACAGCAACAAAAGTAAAAAAATATATATACAGTGGGGAGAACAAGTATTTGATACACTGCCGATTTTGCAGGTTTTCCTACTTACAAAGCATGTAGAGGTCTGTAATTTTTATCATAGGTACACTTCAACTGTGAGAGACAGAATCTAAAACAAAAATCCAGAAAATCACATTGTATGATTTTTAAGTAATTAATTTGCATTTTATTGCATGACATAAGTATTTGATCACCTACCAACCAGTAAGAATTCCGGCACTCACAGACCTGTTAGTTTTTCTTTAAGAAGCCCTCCTGTTCTCCACTCATTACCTGTATTAACTGCACCTGTTTGAACTCGTTACCTGTATAAAAGACACCTGTCCACACACTCAATCAAACAGACTCCAACCTCTCCACAATGGCCAAGACCAGAGAGCTGTGTAAGGACATCAGGGATAAAATTGTAGACCTGCACAAGGCTGGGATGGGCTACAGGACAATATGCAAGCAGCTTGGTGAGAAGGCAACAACTGTTGGCGCAATTATTAGAAAATGGAAGAAGTTCAAGATGACGGTCAATCACCCTCAGTCTGGGGCTCCATGTGAGATCTCACCTCGTGGGGCATCAATGATCATGAGGAAGGTGAGGGATCAGCCCAGAACTACACGGCAGGATCTGGTCAATGACCTGAAGAGAGCTGGGACAACAGTCTCAAAGAAAACCATTAGTAACACACTACGCCGTCATGGATTAAAATCCTGCAGCGCACGCAAGGTCCCCCTGCTCAAGCCAGCGCATGTCCAGGCCCGTCTGAAGTTTGCCAATGACCATCTAGATGATCCAGAGGAGGAATGGGAGAAGGTCATGTGGTCTGATGAGACAAGAATAGAGCTTTTTGGTCTAAACTCCACTTGCCGTGTTTGGAGGAAGAAGAAGGATGAGTACAACCCCAAGAACACCATCCCAACCGTGAAGCATGGAGGTGGAAACATCATTCTTTGGGGATGCTTTTCTGCAAAGGGGACAGGACGACTGCACCGTATTGAGGGGAAGATGGATGGGGCCATGTATCGCAAGATCTTGGCCAACAACCTCCTTCCCTCAGTAAGAGCATTGAAGATGGGTCGTGGCTGGGTCTTTCAGCATGACAACGACCTGAAACACACAGCCAGGGCAACTAAGGAGTGGCTCCGTAAGAAGCATCAAGGTCCTGGAGTGGCCTAGCCAGTCTCCAGACCTGAACCCAATAGAAAATCTTTGGAGGGAGCTGAAAGTCCGTATTGCCCAGCGACAGCCCCGAAACCTGAAGGATCTGGAGAAGGTCTGTATGGAGGAGTGGGCCAAAATCCCTGCTGCAGTGTGTGCAAACCTGGTCAAGACCTACAGGAAACATATGATCTCTGTAATTGCAAACAAAGGTTTCTGTACCAAATATTAAGTTCTGCTTTTCTGATGTATCAAATACAGTGAGGGAAAAAAGTATTTGATCCCCTGCTGATTTTGTACGTTTGCCCACTGACAAAGAAATTATCAGTCTATAATTTTAAATGGTAGGTTTATTTGAACAGTGAGAGACAGAATAACAACAAGAAAATGTTATCAATTGATTTGCATTTTAATGAGGGAAATAAGTATTTGACCCCTCTGCAAAACATGACTTAGTACTTGGTGGCAAAACCCTTGTTGGCAATCACAGAGGTCAGACGTTTCTTGTAGTTGGCCACCAGGTTTGCACACATCTCAGGAGGTATTTTGTCCCACTCCTCTTTGCAGATCTTCTCCAAGTCATTAAGGTTTCGAGGCTGACGTTTGGCAACTCGAACCTTCAGCTCCCTCCAAAGATTTTCTATGGGATTAAGGTCTGGAGACTGGCTAGGCCACATCAGGACCTTAATGTGCTTCTTCTTGAGCCACTCCTTTGTTGCCTTGGCCGTGTGTTTTGGGTCATTGTCATTCTGGAATACCCATTCACAACCCATTTTCAATGCCCTGGCTGAGGGAAGGAGGTTCTCACCCAAGATTTGACGGTACTTGGCCCCGTCCATCGTCCCTTTGATGCGGTGAAGTTGTCCTGTCCCCTTAGCAGAAAAACACCCCCAAAGCATAATGTTTCCACCTCCATGTTTGACGGTAGGGATGGTGTTCTTGGGGTCATAGGCAGCATTCCTCCTCCTCCAAACACGGCGAGTTGAGTTAATGCCAAAGAGCTCCATTTTGGTCTCATCTGACCACGACACTTTCAACCAGTTCTCCTCTAAATCATTCGGATGTTCATTGGCAAACTTCAGACGGGCATGTATATGTGCTTTCTTGAGCAGGGGGACCTTGCGGGCGCTGCAGGATTTCAGTCCTTCACGGCGTAGTGTGTTACCAATTGTTTTCTTGGTGACTATGGTCCCAGCTGCCTTGAGATCATTGACAAGATCCTCCCGTGTAGTTTTGGGCTGATTCCTTACCGTTCTCATGATCATTGCAACTCCACGAGGTGAGAACTTGCATGGAGCCCCAGGCCGAGGGAGATTGACAGTTATTTTGTGTTTCTTCCATTTGCGAATAATCACACCAACTGTTGTCACCTTCTCACCAAGCTGCTTGGCGATGGTCTTGTAGCCCATTCCAGCCTTGTGTAGGTCTACAATCTTGTCCCTGACATCCTTGGAGAGCTCTTTAGTCTTGGCCATGGTGGAGAGTTTGGAATCTGATTGATTGCGTCTGTGGACAGGTGTCTTTTATACAGGTAACAAGCTGAGATTAGGAGCACTCCCTTTAAGAATGTGCTCCTAATCTCAGCTCGTTACCTGTATAAAAGACACCTGGGAGCCATAAATCTTTCTGATTGAGAGGGGGTCAAATACTTATTTCCCTCATTAAAATGCAAATCAATTTATAACATTTTTGACATGCGTTTTTCTGGATTTTGTTGTTGTTATTCTGTCTCTCACTGTTCAAATAAACCTACCATTAAAATTATAGACAGATCATTTCCTTGTCAGTGGGCAAACGTACAAAATCAGCAGGGGCTCAAATACTTTTTCCCCCTCACTGTACTCATGTCATGCAATAAAATGCAAATTAATTACTTAAAAATCATACAATGTGATTTTCTGGATTTTTGTTTTAGATTCCGTCTCTCACAGTTGAAGTGTACCTATGATAAAAATTACAGACCTCTACATGCTTTGTAAGTAGGAAAACCTGCAAAATCGGCAGTGTATGAAATACTTGTTCTCCCCACTGTATATCTCATACCGAAACAGCCTTCTCTTTGGGTCCAAGATGTCCAGTATTTTCTCTGCATATTCTTTCTTTGCAGATGTATAAACAAACATCTGCGAAAAACACATTTGAATCATTTAAATTAACTGTCTTCTTAACAATAAACATATTACACATAAAATGGGGGAAAGTTAACCATGTAGCAAAAATAAAAACATACTACTGCACACATAATAAACACTTGAAAACATACCTCAAAATGTTTTGTCATGGCTTCCAGAAATTCTTTCACATGTGGTCGTAGAATCATGTAGACCTATTGAGGTAAGAGAAGAGAATTAAGATATTACAATATTTTATGTTACCGTCATTATAAAACGGGCATTCATCCTATAAAAATTAAAACAGGTTAATTCACTAACTTTGTACTGATTGTCCTGGAAGCATGTGCGGAAGGTGTACTCTGCATCCTCAATCCCGTTCAGAGAGCTGTACATGAGGGTTTCATCCTAGAACACCAAAAAATTCTAAACAATTGGTACCCCATAGTGTTTCATGTCATACATTTCGAAGGAATAATAATATAACTTGGTAATCATCATGGAAATACAACCTACCCATACATTAATATACTAAGTAAATATCACTGTAAACCAGACCTGCCTAAAAATATCTATTATACTTTGCAGGGGAATTACACAAGTAAATGCCTTGATTAGTCACTAAACTCAAAAGGTAAACCCAACACTCACCAGATCTAAAACTAGGGTGGCTTGGGGCGTACTCCTCGTCTTAGGTGGGATGTCTCGTACGCACGGTTTGGATTGCTGGGACTTGGATGGAATGTTCTTGATGAAGGTAAAGCTAAATACAACAATGCAATGGATTTATTACTTTCAGGAAAAGTGAGTTGAGTCCTTGAGAACTACAGGCATTAGGAAAGAAAGTATGGGCAGTGGATTATTTCAGCAGAGGTGCATCACAAACCAGCAACAATTCTGTTGGCCAGGTTGGCCAACTTACTTTAGATGCCCAGCTGTTGATTATCTTATTTGATCCTGCATTTTGACATAGCCCCAAGATGATCCTGAGGTGATCTAATTAGTCAAGTAGACACATTTGATTTCATAATATGTTATGGCATGCAGCCCTATAATCGTATTCCACAGAACCAAGAACAACAGAAGACGGCCGAACTCACGGGCTGAAAACGTCATTGTCGTCCTCATCTCCAGCGAGAAGGCTGATGGAACCATAGCCAAACACACACTGCTCTGGGCTCATCACATCACTGCTGGGGGTTCTCGCATCTGAATAGATTTTTTTTTTTTTTTAAACAGCCTTGATTCAAATGAATAAGACTCATTCTCCAAGACAGAAGAATGTCTGTTTGGTTCTACACAATACAGTTATCTGAACACAAACACTGCACACCCATGAATTAGCCCCTGGTCTTCCAGGCAGACTACCCTACCTGTACACTACATACAAAAGCCAAAACACACACACTCGGGATTGCTTACTAAATAGTGTGCAAGTATGCAATTTCGAACATAGCCCATCCAATCCACCTTTGATGTACTTACTTTCCTTGGTAGGTGTGAGGAACCGGACCATGGGGGAGTAGATATTTCGCACAGTGGAATTGAGGGGAGAGGAGGGGTTTAGCTCCGACAGCACCCGGTGATGGTGCACATTAACGGGGGTCTTGAAGCCCAGATCTAGAAATTAATACAGAATGATTGTCAGTATTTAGTTGCCATCTTGAAATAAACGACAATAGAGCAATTGCATTCACCAAAATAAATGGGTACCTTCTCTGTCTTCATAGGCAGGGGCTGCCACCCTTTTCCTCCCACGCCCTTGAACAAGAGGGCGCTTTGTAGCGGTGGGGATATCATCATCAGGGTAGAGTGACTGGTCGTCTGGCTGTTGTACATCTTCATCCTACACATAGAAAATATCATTGTGACAGTCTGAAAAAGTAGCTAAAAGCTCTCATCAAAAGGATCAGAATTACCCCCCACCAACTATATGTCAGTTAAGTATAAGGCACTAGTATAAAAACTTGCAAGTTGTCTCACATACAGGCTGACCCAAACCTTGATCAAAAAGGCTTTATCCAAAGCGACTTACAGTCATGCATACATACATAGTATGTACAGGTGGTCCCGGGAAAATAACCCATTATCATGGAGTTGCAAGCGCCATGCACTACCAACTGACCTACTGATGACCATATTATTATGAGTCTTTGTCCTATGGAGGATTCAATTGGCTTTTCATCAGTCTCAGTGTAGCAGATGTGAACGAGTGCTTTACCCAAAAATCTGTGTGAACACTGACATTTAACAACATCTAGCTACTGTGATAGTAAAAACAGAGCGCATGTGCGACCTAGATACTAGTGAAAGACCCTCTCCCTCGACCTACTTGTGATGGGTAATCTGTAATCCTCTCTGCCAGACACTACATCTGCTGGTATCAATATGAGTTGATGATAAAGCCAGAGTGATGCTTTGTCAAATTAAACAATAAAAACATGGGTCACCATTTCATATTATGGACAGGTTATGTTCAATTATTATAAAAGAGATGATAAAATATTGCATCAATTGTTTTGGGTAAGAACATAAATACATTCCAGGTGTCCAACTGGTCGGTAGAACTGTGAACAAGTACCCATTTCAACATTGTCCGTTGTAGCTAGCAAATTTTGCCAGCGAGTGAGGAGAAACTATTTTCAAGCCACTTCGTTACATCTACGGCCGGAAGTAACTTTTTCGTAGTAGGTTTGGATAATTTATGCAGCAAGTTAGGAGAATTAACGTATCAAGTTAGGAGAATTAACGTATCAAGTTAGGAGAATTAACGTATCAAGTTAGGAGAATTAACGTATCAAGTTAGGAGAATTAACGTATCAAGTTAGGAGAATTAACGTATCAAGTTAGGAGAATTAACGTATCAGGTTAGGAGAATTAACGTATCAGGTTAGGAGAATTAACGTATCAGGTTAGGAAAAAGGTTAGGGTTAGCGAAAATGTCCTCCTAACCTGCCATGAAAATCACTTCCAGTCGTCGCTGTCGAAGTGGCGTGAAAAGCGAGTAGCGCTCTGAACACACCGACTGTGTCATTGCGCAACATAGTGTGCAGCATCATCATCATCTAGATCTGTGTGCAACAAAAGTTCAACATTCACCTTCTGCTACCATTTCTGTCAACCCGTTTACACATACAGTTTGACGCATACGTTCGATAAATCCAACGTATGCACCACACAGAACGCACTGCAACGCAATGCTGCACGGCAAACGCAGAGTTCCATTGGAAATGAATGTACTTCTGATGTACCAAAACGCAAACGCACAGTTAGTGTGTTCTACTACGTCATTGTTTACGTCTGTCTAATCGGCTAGCTAAGCTAGCTAGTTAGCAAGCGATTATGTCAGTTTGGGCAAGCAAATTTGTTTTAGCCAACGATAGTACGTCATACGCATTGAACGTTTTCAGTTTATTCCAAGATATTTTGGCAAAACAAGCTTATCGACTTACCTTTTCCGGAGTTACGCTCTGCGCGCCTCTCTTCGAGGACCGCCGACCGTTAAACTGTGCTGGTGAAGGGTCAGCAATTCTTCGAGACCGAAGTCTCATTTTCACAAAATTAAATGTTGTACACGAACAAGAATCGTTATACAGCCATTGAAAATAATCCTTGTCCCTACTCAAAAAGTCGAGAACAGATCAGTTCCTGTTTGTGATTGCTTTTCGTCCTCTGTATTCCATTAGTTCTCGTGCTGTCTAGTTTCTGTTCATTTAAATCTACCGGGAAGGTCCACTGCTGTAGCTAGCTGTAATCAATGGGCGGTGCTTCCGAAAAAAACTGTCAACGTGATACCCAAGTCACGTTGCAGATGGTAGCATAGTTGTGACAGACACTTTCTAGATAGGGTCATACGTCATATTCTATTCATATTACATTTGTATGGCTTTTATTTGTTTACAGTTGAAACTCCAGATGTTTTGTTTTGTGGATGAATAGATGGTGTATGACAAAGTGTAAACGTTCGAGGTGTATTTCTGCGAACCATTAGTATACCTAAAATGTTTTGTAAAAATTGAGTAAGAATGTACTTAGTAATAAGACAAGGTTCAATACAAAATACAATAAAACACACCCTTTTTATTTAAGATTGTATACTTAATTTTTCCCCCATTACAAATCCAGGCAGATAGGCCTACATCAAAGAAATGTCTTAAAAAACGTTTCCAAAGTAAAGGCTGACTGATAACATAATGTACGTTTTTTTAAAAGATATAGAATGCAATCATTCCAAGTTTAACCATGACATTCAGTTGATACCAACATTCAATGTAATCTGTTCTGAATAAACTATTTGAAACATTCATTGTCTCTTTGTACTGAAGTATTCATCAATGCAATTGTGGTGTAAAACCTCAGCTGACATTCTAGGAAAATGTTATATTTATTTAAATCCAAAATAAACGTATTCACACAAACACATTGATTAAATAGTCAAGAATCATTCAAAAGAGATCACACATTCTAAAAAGCGTGTTGTTGATCTGTTGTTTGGGCGCTACACCTTGCAAAAAACTGGTCACTGAAGAGGCACAAAATGCCACCCCTCAACTTCACTTGTTTCCTTGTATTTTGGGAAACATCCCATTCAGTGGAAAAAAGGTTCATCATAGAAAATAATGAGAAAAAATATCACACATGCACAAAACAGACTGAAAAATACTTTTGTGCCTGTATCTATAAGAAGTAGTTGTAGGCTGCAGCAATAGTTTTTCAATATAGCAGTTTGTTGCCTAGGGGTAACACCGACCAAAATGCAAAAGTGCTACATGAAAAATAATATGTAACACCAATGAAGAGAGAGAGAGAGAGAGAGAGACAAAGCGGAACACCTTGTGCACACACTACCCTGTAACTTTAGCCCTAGCAGGAATAAATCCATAAAAACTGGAGGTAGAAGTATATTCCTGAGAAGTAGAAGAAAAAAGCCTAATTTATATTCTGAATTTCCAAGTACTTCACATGACAACAAAATAGTTAACAAAACCAAGGCCGGTATGTCAACCTTGCGCTTCCCCAAATCATCACAATATTATTATCATTAATATAATAACGATTGTTATTAATATCATGATAATAAATGTCATCAGCTGTAAATGTAATGTCTATGCTAGGTTGCTATATATATTTTTAAAGAAAAATAATCTAGGGCCATCCAAAGCCTTTTCAGATGTGTTATCTGCTATAATTACGAGATGCCTAATGCTGTGACAATTCTTCTATGAATTAACCTGTATATAGAACTATATATTTTCATTCACCATAACATTGTATTTTATTTCATCTTCACATATGTTTTGGTTGTCCCAGCCATATACAATCTACCAAACAGATAGCTAAAGCAAGTGGTATGTCTTATAATGTCTTAAGGATGAAAATTCATGGAAAGATTCTGATGAGAATCTCTCTAAAATCTAAAGGACATAGAATATAAATCTATAAGCATGCCTCTTCCATGATAAGCAGGTCTCCTAACTTCTGTTGAGATGAAGAAAGGATAGAATTCTCCTCAAAATGAAGTTGAAATCTAAACTGTGAGCCTTGCAATCAAATATAAACAGAGGAAAAGCAGAGAATAGGCCTACCATGCTAGCTATGAACACGCTATGCATCCCAAACTGTATCTGATTGCGTGCTGTAAGACATACATCCACTAGGGGGCAGCATCACTGAAGCATAAAGTTAGTATTCCTGACAGCGGCTTCCTTGGTCTCCATTGCATGTTGCCAAAACAATCCAAAGTGATTGTCATCAGCTATGATAAAGAAAATATTAAAGGCATTAGACGATTGTCTGCAATAATCTATCCTTCCAACCATTTCGGTTTATTTACCAACAGCTGAATTATCTGACTACAATCTCTGTTATATCTGTCAATGCATAGTATAAACCCATGTCATGAAGCTCAAAATAATATATCATACTTTTAAGTTTAACAGTAATATACTACTTCAATATGGTACTGTGTAATGGTCTTACAAGAGATTTAGTCAAAGCATAGACTTGAGGTAGAGGCAGGCGCTTCATTGAGGTCAAATGGATCTGCAGGAAAAAAGACCATGAGGTATACAATGTTGTAACATCTCCTGATTGTCACTACAATCAAAATCGACCTTCCCTGAGGATTCTGAATTCTGAAAAGTAGTGAGTGTGAATCGATGTGGTTTCTTGAAGATACAGAAACAGCCTTTGTCAGATCCTCCTCTCCACCCTCTCAGGGCTGGGCGTCTCAGGCTCTGCAAACTATTGGACTGCTTCCTACCTGGCAGGCAGCTCCTACCAGGTGACATGGAGAGGATCTGTGTCAGCACCATGTACTCTCACTACTGGTATCACCCAGGACTCTGTTCTAGGCCCTCTCCTCTGCTCTCTATACACCAAGTCACTCGGCTCCGTCATATCCTCACATGGTCTCTCCTCTCACTGCTATGCGGATGACACTCAACTAATATTTCCTTCTCCCCTTCTGACACCCAGGTGGCGACACGCATCTCTGCGTGCTTGGCAGATATCTCAGCTTGGATTTCAGCCCACCACCTCAAACTCAAACTCAACCTCGACAAGATGGAGATGCTCTTCCTCCTGGGGAAGGCCTGTCCGCTACAAGACCTCTCCATCACAGTTGACAACTCCACGGTGTCCCTCTACCAGAGTGCAAAGAAACTTGGCGCGACCCTGGACAACACCCTGTCGTTCTCTGCAAACATCAAAGCAGTGACTCGCTCCTGCAGGTTCATGCTCTACAACATTAGAGTACGACCCTACCTCACACAGGAAGCGGCGCAGGTCCTAATCCAGGCACTTGTCATCTCCTGTCTGGAATACTGAAACTCGCTGTTGGCTGGGCTCCCCGCTTGTGCCATCAAACCCCTGCAACTTCTCCAGAACGCTGCAGCCCGCCTGGTGTTCAACATTCCCAAGTTCTCCCATGTCACCCCGCTCCTCCGCACACTCCACTGGCTTCCAGTCGCAGCTCGCATCTACTACAATACTATGGTATTTGCCTACAGAGTAGCAACATGAACTGCCCTCCCTACCTTCAGGCTATGTTCAAACCATACACCCCAACCTGAGCACTCCATTCTGCCACCTTTGGTCTCTTGGCCCTCCCACCTCTACGGCAGGGAAGCTCCCGCTCATCCCAGTCCAAGCTCTTCTCTGTCCTGGCACCCCAATGGTGGAACCAGCTTCCCCCTGAAGCTAGGACAGCAGAGTCCCTGCCCATCTTTTGCAAACATCTGAAATTGAAGAGCAGTGCTGACCCAAAGGCAGGAATTGATTGGGCGTTTCCACCCCCATCCTTTCAACCATAACACAGCTCTATGTTATTGTTAGCCATTTACTGGGATAATAATTGGCTATGACTTTTGTCATTCTCTGAGAGAGCTTTTCCCCCCAGGGTCTAGCTGGCGAGGACAGACTCCTTAATACGTTTCAGCGAAAATTGTTTAATAGAACAACCATTGTTGTGTTGCTACAGTAGCATGATTAGTATGCAACTGTGTTGTATACAAACAAACGGTACTTCTGATAACAACTGAAATTAAGTAAAGCAAAAGACAGCACATGAAACAGATATCTGTCAATCCCACAGTATTCTCTGTAACATCTTCTATTGTCATTAAACTGGCCTCCTCGGACTCAACAGATTGAAGCTGATGGTATAGCTGTGAATATAAGAAGCACTTGGATATAGGCAGCACTACATAATGCAAGCATGTAGCTAAACTCATTAATGTTTTGTCGTTATGAAGATTTCACATATCAAGGTGTAGGCACTCTTGAGACATTATGAGTGCCCCTAAATAGAGTTACTTCCAGCCCCAAACCTCAGTTTTAAAGGTGCACAATTGCAGACCTAAGAATTCCTGCTACATCAATCCCTTACTCTGAGTCGTCTCAGAGTGATCAAACTTTAAACTAAAAGCTTTAAGTAGATTGAAGATGATCCCACTACTTATAAAAGGACAGAGTACCCTGGGTAATTGATGAGACAACCTGATAGAAAACTAAATTCTACATGAAAAACAACAAAATATGGTTGAAATGTGTCATGAGAGAAACAAACACTCAAACCAGGAAATACATTTGTATAATGTGTGGCTATAACAGAAACATATAGCAGTTAAATACAACGTTATTGTTTCACAGCAATCTGGCAGACACCTGAGAAAAACCTGCACATATTCTAAAGCCTAAAAATTCCTGTTAACTTCCACCAGAAAAAAAATGCAAGACAAAAACCTGTGTCTGAGCAATTAATAGAAAATCTCAGCAAAGATTGACTTGTTTCCGACTGCATCATGCAAACGTAAAAGAGGAATTCTATAGCATGAGGTCACAATGGTACTTTGTTATACCCTGAAGAAATAACATACTTTAAAGCTTTTCTACTTAAAATACAAGAAATTTAAAATGTTCTGCTTTATAGAATCCTAAATATATATTTTTTGCAATGAGTATATTGTTAGTGATGATGATGATGATGATGATAATGAGAATAATAATTAATGATAATAATGTAATAAAAATAATGTTACAAACAACTTATTTTTCCTCTTGAGAAGACGCTTCATTGTCAGTCAGTAGCTGTGTTAAATGTTTAAACAATGCATTACCCTTCCAACTTATTATTTTTATTTTGTTCTCAGATAATCTGTACATTTATGTATAAATAAATTATTCTCAGGCTGTGCAAATATCTATCATATACTGGCTTCTTGTTGGGTTATTCAAACTTATTTAGGCTAAAGAACAAAAGAGGGAAGGATATATGAGAGGACCTGAGAGTGTACTTCAAGTGGTCTGAGTTTCAGTTTGTCTTGCCGTATATATGTTTTTTTTGGCATAGGCTATGTAGAAAACGAGGTTTGTTTTTGGCTTTAGTTAGCATCAAAGGTGGGTGGATGAGGTAGGTGTGTAGGGGAGCGGCTGGGATCCACTGTGCCCACCAGGGGCTTTGTTGTTACTTGATGATCCAGAGGGGCCTGACGAGGCTGACCCTGCTGCCTGAGCAAAAAGTACACCTGCAAGGGAACAGAAACTCCAGTGTGAGACTTCTGTCTTTGCAAAAATAAAAGATAGCAAGTTAGTCAGAGTAACCTGACCTACAAAGGTCCAATGTTGATAAACAATGTTGTGAATTCAGGAATGATAGTTGTAGTAAAACATGGTAACACAAGACCGTGTTGTTGATTCCGTGACTGGTGACTCACCGGTGTACATGACTCCATTGAGTTCCACTGACATACTGATGCTGCTCATGCCATTAGTGGTGAGATTGAGAGCTGAGTGCTGTCGGCCATCTGAGAAAAGACACACAGCATGTAATGTACACCACACTCATAGGTGATGTTTAACAGCAGATATAAGCATCAACATCACAGGAAAATGTGTAAATATGAACAACCTCACTACACAAACATATGGGGCAGCAGGTAGCCTAGCGGTTAGAGAAGCGAGCCAGCAACCGGAGGCTTGCCAGTTAAAATCCTGGGTCTGAGCAAGTCACTTAACTCCCCCCACAACAACTGCTCCAGTGTGGCAGCTCCTTGCTCTAACCTCTCCAACCTGTATATGTATGTTTGTGTCTTTTAGAGGGGTTGGGATAAAGCAGAAGTCACATTTTGGCTGGAACCTTCTGTACAATTGACGAATAAATTGAACTTAATCTTAATATAAACTAACTGCACAAACAAACTTATAAATAAATTGAACAATCTAATAACCTGAAATAAGGAATATCTGAATAAACTAATTAACTTCCGGAAACAACCTAACAAACAAACGGAACCCACTCCGCTCACTTGGATACATTATATAAATTCATGAGATAGCTTACCAATGTATCCAAGTGAGCGGACACCTAAGGCAATTGATTCATGAATAGTTCACACCTGATGCCCTCAATTGCCCTTTGTGCCTGCTCCCATACTCTATAACTCTTTATTTCTTAGTGACTGTAACTTGTATACAGGTAGACCAGAGAAGCCACATCCCTGATTGGCAATCAATGTTCCCTCTAACTTAAACGTTGTGAAAATTCTGTGCAACTTCCAGCGCGCGTTTACCGTGAACACTGAGGCTGTACCAGTTTTAAGTTACAGTTTTAACAGTGGCCAAGTAGGCTTGGATGGCTTGACATTAACCTGTTTATCCACTTGTCCTTCAGACACAGAGGTGACTGAAGATGTTGTTGTGTTGTTTGATGCAAGAAACCACTTGACAAAATAAAATGCATCATTATTCCCATACCATTATTACAGAGAGCCAGACAAATTATGCTACCGTCTGCCTATTGGCTACTTAGTTTATTCAAGCCTGTCTCAAAATACAACACTGCCCCTTTAAGACAAAAAAAAGCTCTGTAACTGATTGGCTTTTCAAAGATGTCTAGAAATGTACACGTTTTGTGCTCTTGCAGGAAGCAATCACACCCCTATTGGTGACTACAAATTATCTAAAACTGGGCTAATAACTCACTAACTAGCAAAGGATATGAACAAAATGTGCACACATGGCTACATGCAGATCTTGCTTTGATCTCAAAACAACTGCATCTACTCACGACCACAGCTGTAAACACAGTCCAGTTCAAAGTAAATGGCACAGATCCATATATGGCAATGATCTATTTGCATATAGGCCTACTGCAGCTCTGATTGGTTATGCCGCACCGGTCTGTGTAGAGTGCAGGGTGAGTCTTGCCCAATAGAACCCTACTCAGATGCGTTCTGCCTACAACAAAATCTCTTGCATAGTGCGTTTTGTTTCGGTATGTTGCATTGAAAGTGGCTAATATTGTGTTGAATCGATCACAATTGCCACAGTAAGTGTTAACTAACGGAAAACTCTAGAAAGTTGAGTGAAGTTCAATCTTGTGCTTCTCTTAGTGGGCTGATATTTCTTCTGCGCTTGGGGCTACTGCACGCCCGCGCATGCGCACAGTTTAGAGGGAACATTGGTGGCAACCCTGATTAGAAGCACCTTCTGCTCATCGGTTGCTCACCTGTGTTCCCTACAAATACTGTTTTGAATGAAAAACCCACTGAAGAAGGCTGCAAAGCCGAAAGGTCCCTGATCCCTGATGCAGTTAAAATAATAAAATAAAATAGAAAAATGAATGAAGCTTTATGCAACATCTTTTTGAGTGCGGACCCATCACACCTTTTTATTAATTATTTAATTAATTAATTTAATTAATTAACTATACTATATATATTTTACTGAAGGGAAGCAAAGGTGGACCAATCTTGGTCCCTTCAAATCAAATTAAACTTGATTTAAAGTGCATTTAAAATGGCAACAGGCTCTACCTTGGTTGTTGATGCGGATGTTCATGGGCATCTGGGCAGTCCTGGCCAGCAGATTGTGCTGCAGCGCTCTCTGCAGCAGCCGCTGGTGCTCCTCAGCAGGCAGGGCCATCTTCTTCTCCGGGGGCTCGCCTGCCTCCAGTCTGTCCCTCAGCTGCTCTAGAGCCGCTACCTGGGCCGCTGCCACCTGCAACGCCGCCGCCGAATTACCAACCAGAGGGTGCCTGGACATGAAGCCCAAGCCGGACACAGGCTGGCCACCCTCCTCTTCTACAGGGGAGATGGAGAAGTTTAGAGCAGGGTAGTGTTGGTGCGGGATGTGGTAGCTTTTCAAATGAAGTATCTGTTGTCTGATGTTATGGGTTACTCTTCACCGTTCTGTGATAATCTGTGATAAGTATGAACCCTCCCAACACTCTGTCATTGTGTTCATGTTCACTTCAATCATTGGCTTTATTCATGTCTGTGATATGAATGAACCACCAAAATAATCTTAATTAAAAACAACAAATAATCTTCCTCATTCCAATGTAGAATAATTGTCCTTTAAAGATATCGGAGTATAGCAAAACACCTTTCTATCCATCAACACTCTGATGTTAATCATTGGCTAGACTAGAGCATACAAAGTTCAAAACCCGAACACTTCCTTTTATGTACCTTTCTTGATTTTTTGGATGGGAGCGAGAGAGTGGCCCTCCGTTGGTGACCACGTTCATCCCCATTTCCTGCATGGACATCTTGGGGGAGGACAGCATGGTGGGGGTCCCGTTGGGGGAGTAGGTGAAGAGTGAGCTGCCGAAGCTCTGCCGGCGGCCCTCCCGCCGGTTACAGTCGATAGCTGCCTGGAGCTCGTTGGGGTTGCTGAGGCTCCTCTTGTCACATTCGTATGGGTACAGGTACTTCATGTATCTGTGAAAACGACATTTCAGTTGGTATTGGGATAATTTTATGAAATATGAAATTAATTGAAAAACACAGTATTACAATGGATAAGTATACCTTGAAACAAGTTTGCAAATTATATGGGGGAGTGTGTATGTGTGTTCGGTGTGCGTGTGTGTGTGTGTGTGTGTACTCACTGTGTCCTGAGAGTAAAGGCTGCACTGGTAATTGAGGTAGGCAGGTTGAGTCCTTTAGTGATCTCTCTCCACAGCTTCTTGTTGATGACCTCCACCAGGCCTCCCTTCTCTGTCACCAGCTGGTACAGCATGTACAGGTCTAGGACCTGCTTGGCCATGATGGGGATCCTGTTCACAGGGGTTCCTGGAGACAGGGAAAAGACAACTCACTGCCTGTGGCTAACACCATACTCTATTTCAGAAAGGATGTTTGATTAAAAAAAGACATTATGACACCTTGTTTTCTCAATGACATTCAATTCAGCATTGACAAAAAGGCGCAAGTTTAAGTTTGTTCCACCTGAGTGAGTCTGACCACAAGTCAGAGACCACTATGATGACACACCAAATGTGTTTGATGGTTCCTTTTTGTCTTCTTCTAATGTCTCTTAAGGGGAAAGTAATCATAGTAATCAGATTACATTACTGAGTTTGGGTAATCCAAAAGTTATGCTACTGATTACAATTTTGGACAGGTAAGCAGTAACTGTAACAGATTCCATTTAGAAAGTAACCTACCCAACCCTGGTTCTAGGATATTGTTTTCCTACGGAGAGTATCACACCTTTTCTTAGCACACAATACTTCAATTCATAATCAATTGTCAATGCCATGTCTGCTTTGTTCTTGTTATGGTATTGGGTCTTATTGTCCTTAAAAACACATGACTTTTCTTTTTTTTTACAATTCTGAAAGAAAGCTATGGAAAGAAAAGCAGGAACATTTTCTCCTCTCAGTCTCTAGTCAATTCCCTATATTGTCCCTAGAGGGCAGTGTCCAATTCTTTGAGCAACTAGGCACGTAGACACGCCCATACATTTGTTTGAGGGCACAGTGTATAGTGTAGACATACCCTAAACACCCAATACTGGATTTTCCACACTGACTATCTTGACATAATAATATTTATTGCTATTACTTTCAACATGTTGGCCTTATATTTCCAAAGTAGAACTAGTTTCTACTATCAAAATTATACTATGTGCTGTGCTGTTTGCTTGAGGGCACACACTTAATGTGTTGTGAAATTTGTTGTGTAATGTAATGTTTTTAATTGTTTATAACTGCCTTAATTTTGCTCGACCCCAGGAAGAGTAGCTGCTGCCTTGGCAGCAGCTAATGGGGAACCATAATAAATCCAAATACAGTCTGACGAAGTGACGATCATTAATAAAAGATGCAAATGCTGAACCAAACCAAACACCATAACTTCACGGAGCAACATACAAACTCCGGCGCCAAAACATATACGTAAATACATTCCTAAGTTGATACATGCAGTCTCGTGTACGCTCTAGTTTTAGACGAGCTGGGAACAGTGAAGGCTTGGCCAACCATAAAGCAATCATCTCCAAATGAATAAAGATCCACCCATGGAGGTGAAAGCTGAGAGTGGTGTTTCGTATGTCAGTGAAGGGGGGAGGGGCGGGGGGCAGGTGGCTAGAGAACAGAACAGGGCCTCTCAGTACTAACCCACCAAGGCAAACAGTGAAGTCTATCGAGTCATGGCTTTTATTTGTATTAATGTGGCTCTGCTGCATGAGATATTGGGCCAGAAAGGTACAGCACTGTCTTGCATATACGCCACTCCTTTTACAACACTCGCTCACCTCTCTTTTGCATGAAGCTGAATAGGTCATCCAGAAACTCTTTTCTCTTTGGGTCTCCATCTAGTTCGTAGAGCTGTAGAGGAGAGGAGAGAAGAGGAGGGGGAGAGATAAAAACAGGTTACAGCTGGAAGTAGATTACCATGGGGGGTTGAGAGCTATTATTGCCCCAAAATGGAGGATGGATCCTCAGCTTTAGAATGCCATTAAGTCTAGAGAGGAGGTCCGGAAAGTTCAGTGGAAGTTAACAGTAAAAGTGAAGCACATGGCTCAGGGGAATACAGTGCCCTGTTGTGGTAACTTCAATTGCGGTATGAAGATTGTTCACAACAGTTTGATTCACACTCGCTGGTGTGGAGAGTATCTTTGACTGACTAGCGTGTCAAACAAAAGTGCAGTTTACAAACCAAACCAATAATGTAGCTGAGGCGGAAGAATACATTTTGTTTAATTATTGGATTTTAATTCTCTCTGAAAAGACATATACTGAACAAAAATATAAATGCAACATATAAAGTGTTGGTCCCATGATCATTACACAGGTGCACCTTGTGCTGGGTACAATAAAAGGCCACTCTAAAATGTGCAGTTTTGTAACACAATCCCACAGATGTCTCAAGTTTTAAAGGGGGAACGCACAATTGGCATGCTGACAGCAGGAATGTCCACCAGAGCTTTTGCCAGAGAATTGAATGTTCATTTCTTTACCATAAGCCTCCTCCAACGTCGTTTTAGAGAATTTGGCAGTACGTCCAACCGGTCTCACAAACGCAGGCCACGTGTAACCACGCCAGCTACATCAGGCTTCTTCACCTGTGGGATGGTCTGAGACGAGCCACCTGGACAGCTGATGAAACTGCAGGTTTGCACAACCAAATTATTTCTGCAGAAACTGTCAGAAACCGTCTCAGGGAAGCTCATCTGCGTGCTCGTCGTCCTCACCAGGGTCTTGACCTGACTGCAGTTCGGCATCGTAACCTACTTCAGTGGGCAAATGCTCAGCTTCGATGGCCACTAGCACGCTGGAGAAGTGTGCTCTTCACGGATGAATCCCAGTTTCAACTGTACCGGGCAGATGGCAGACAGCGTGTATGGCGTCGTGTGGGCAAGCGGTTTGCTGATGTCAACGTTGTGAACAGAGTGCCCCATGGTGGAGGTTGGGTTATGGTATGAGCAGGCATGAGCTACGGACAACGAACACAATTGCATTTTATCGATGGCAATTTGAATGCACAGAGATACCGTGACGAGATCCTGAGGCCAATTGTCGTGCCATTCATCCGCTGCCATCACCTCATGTTTCAACATGATAATGCATGGCCCCATGTTGCAAGGATCTGTACACAATTCCTGGAAGCTGAAAATGTCCCAGTTATTCCATGGCCTGCATACTCACCAGACATGTCACCCATTGAGCATGTTTGGGATGCTCTGGATCAATGTGTACAACAGTGTGTTCCAGTTCCCGCCAATATCTAGCAACTTCGCACAGCTATTGAAAACATCTTTGAAATTGTTGCATGTTTCGTTTATATTTTTGTTAAGTGTATATAAACCTGCTACACAAGATGCTTCATCGTTACAACAGTTCGGCCAGAGCACACAATGCAAAACTCTACTCTTATTCTGGATTTGGGAGTACTTTTTGCAGGCTCTTGCTGTGTAATCACAAACAGGCCATTCTCTTTCTGGCGTTTAGCGCTCATTAGTGATGCCAAGCTGCCGTTAGATCTTATTATCAGAGGGATAGGGGCTGAATGACTAGGCGGGGGAGGGGCGGTAATAAGTATAGGGCTGGAGGCAAGGCCAGTCTTCATTACAGGATGCCGAGCCATAAATCTGTACATAGTCAAAGCTTTCCTTCATTTTGGGTCTCTCTCTCTCTCCCTGCCTCCCTTCCTCCAACTCCTCCTCCTCCACAGCGAAACCATCATGTGCTTCCTTTTCCTCCCAACCAATCTAACAACGGTCTGATCTGCCTGCCTTCCTACTGTAGGCTCCTGAGATAGGCCTACCATGTCTGGGAACAGATAAACTCCCTGTCGTGGGCAAATTCTTAGGTCGTAATGTCGGACGTCTTGGCTCGTTCAGTGTGACAGGGTCTAGGTCTGCTGATTAAATCAAATCAAAAATGTATTTGCCACATGCGCCGAAAACAGCAGGTGTAGACATTACAGTGAAATGCTTACTTACAAGCCCTTAACCAACAATGCAGTATTTTATTTTAATTTTATTTTTTAAAGTGTTAATTAAAGAAAAATATAAAATAAAAGCAAATAGCTAAAGAGCAGCAGTAAAATAAAATAACAGTAGGGAGGCTACATACAGGGGGGTACCGGCTAGTCGAGGTAATTGAGGTCATATGTACATGTGGGTAGAGTTAAAGTGACTATGCATAAATAGTAAACAGAGTAGCAGCAACGTAAAAGAGGGGGATGGGGTGGGGTGGGGGGCAGTGCAAATAGTCTGGGTAGCCATGATTAGCTGTTCAGGAGTCTTATGGCTTGGGGGTAGAAGCTGTTGAGAAGCCTTTTGGACCTAGACTTGGCGCTCCGGTATTGCTTGCCGTGCGGTAGCAGAGAGAACAGTCTATGACTAGGGTGGCTTGAGTCTTTGACAATTTTTAGGGCCTTCCTCTGACACCGCCTGGTATTGAGGTCCTGTATGGCAGGAAGCTTGGCCCCAGTGATGTACTGGGCCGAGCAGTTGCCATACCAGGCGATGATGTAACCCGTCAGGATGCTCTCGATGGTGCAGCTGTATAACTTTTTGAGGATCTGAGGACCCATGCCAAATCTTTTCAGTCTCCTGAGGGGAATAGGTTTTGTGTCGTGCCCTCTTCACGACGGTCTTGGTGTGTTTGGACCATGATAGTTTGTTGGTGATGTGGACACCAAGGAACTTGAAGCTCTCAACCTGTTCCACTACAGCCCCGTCGATGAGAATGGGGGTGTGCTCAGTCCTCTTTTTTTCCCTGTAGTCCACAATCATCTCCTTTGTCTTGATCACATTGAGGGAGAGGTTGTTATCCTGGCACCACACGGCCAGGTCTCTGACCTCCTCCCTATAGGCTGTCTCATCATTGTCGGTGATCAGACCTACCACTGTTGTGTCGTCGGCAAACTTAATGATGGTGTTGAAGTCGTGCCTGGCCATGCAGTCATGGGTGAACAGGGAGTACAGGAGGGGACTGAGCACGCACCCCTGAGGGGCCCCCGTGTTGAGGATCAGCGTGGCAGACGTGTTGTTACCTACCCCTACCACCTGGGGGCGGCCCGTCAGGAAGTCCAGGAGCCAGTTGCAGAGGGAGGTGTTTAGTTCCAGGATCCTTAGCTTTGTGATGAGCTTTGAGGGCACTATGGTGTTGAACGCTGAGCTGTAGTCAATGAATAGCATTCTCACGTAGGTGTTCCTCTTGTCCAGATGGGAAAGGGCAGTGTGGAGTGCAATAGAGATTGCATCATCTGTGGATCTGTTGGGGCGGTATGCAAATTGGAGTGGGTCTAGGGTTTCTGGGATAATGGTGTTGATGTGAGCCATGACCAGCCTTTCAAAGCACTTCATGGCTACAGATGTGAGTGCTACGGGTCAGTAGTCATTTAGGCAGGTTATCTTAGTGTCCTTGGGCACAGGGACTATGGTGGTCTGCTTGAAACATGTTGGTATTACAGACTCAGTCAGGGACATGTTGAAAATGTCAGTGAAGACACTTGCCAGTTGGTCAGCACATGCTCGGAGTACACGTCCTGGTAATCCGTCTGGCCCTGCGGCCTTGTGAATGTTGACCTGCTTAAAAGTCTTACTCACATCGGCTACGGAGAGTGTGATCACATAGTCATCCGGAACAGCTGGTGCTCTCATGCATGCTTCAGTGTTGCTTGCCTCGAAGCGAGCATAGAAGTGATTTAGCTCGTCTGGTAGGCTTGTGTCACTGGGCAGTTCGCGGCTGTGCTTCCCTTTGTAGTCTGTAATAGTTTTCAAGCCCTGCCACATCTGACGAGTGTCAGAGCCGGTGTAGTATGATTCAATCTTAGTCCTGTATTGACTCTTTGCCTGTTTGATGGTTCGTCGGCGAGCATAGCGGGATTTCTTATAAGCTTCCGGGTTAGAGTCCCGCTCCTTTAAAGCGGCAGCTCTACCCTTTAGCTCAGTGCGGATATTGCCTGTAATCCATGGCTTCTGGTTGGGGTATGTACGTACGGTCACTGTGGGGACGACGTCATCGATGCACTTATTTATGAAGCCAGTGACTGATGTGGTGTACTCCTCAATGCTATCTGAAGAATCCCGGAACATATTCCAGTCTGTGCTAGCAAAACAGTCACGTGGCTTAGCATCTGCGTCATCTGACCACTTTTTTATTGACCGAGTCACTGGTGCTTCCTGCTTTAGTTTTTGCTTATAAGATTTTGTGCACCAGCTGTTGTTTACAAATATACACAGACCGTCCAACCCTTGTCTTACCGGAGTCAGCCGTTCTATCCTGCCGATGTAGCGTATAGCCCGCTAGCTGTATGTTATCCATGTCGTGGTTCAGCCACGACTCAGTGAAACATAAGATATTACAGTTTTTAATGTCCCGTTGGTAGGATAACCTTAGTCTTAGGTCATCCAATTTGTTTTCAAATGATTGAACATTGGCTAATAGGATTGATGGAAGAGGCAGTTTACTCGCTCGCTGTCGGATCCTTACAAGGCATCCCGACCTACGTCCACGATATCTCTGTCTCTTTCTCATGCGAATGACGGGGATTTGGGCCTTGTCGGGTGTCTGTAGAATATCCTTCGCGTCCGACTCGTTGAAGAAAAAATATTAGTCCAATACGAGGTGAGTAATCACTGTCCTGATATCCAGAAGCTCTTTTTGGTCATAAGAGACGGTGGCAGAAACATTATGTACAGAATAAAATACAAATAACGCGAAAAAACACACATAATAGTACAATTGGTTAGAGGGCTGTAAAACGGCAGCCATCTTCTCCACTACATGCGGTTGTAAGCTCAGACAATGTTCTGGCAGGGTCAGAAATGTTGAGCGTTTATCGTGTAGTCTAACAGACCAATAGGAACAAGGCC